CCGGAAATGGTCGTGTCAGTATCTCAGGATTGTCGATAAACTTACAGACTACTGAATGCGACTCGCGGGCTCTTAGCCCGCAGCTTTAAGTAACTCGCGGACCGTTGGTTCACGTGGTCCTCCTGAAAAAAGCATGTTTAATTTCAGTCAAACGCCATAAATCCGTGGATAAACACAGCCTAATTAGTGGTCGAGTGTAATAGATACAGTTGGTGGATCGACTCATGAAAAGTCTACCGAAATTTCGAAATGCGCTTTCGTTTCGAAAAGATAAATTAAGTAGTGTTGTAAAACTAACCATGATGCAGCATAAATCTATAATGATGCAGTTACCTCAGGGTGTCTGCTTTTGACAGAACTTATTTTCGGCTGCATGCAAGATCTATACTCTGCAAAAAATGACTGCTTACGTAGTATGCAATTTTTTCATTGATTTTCGATGCACCTTAATGTCCAATTATATTTGATGGAAAACATGCATAAAAATACCTATTCTTTGGCTCATTTGGTAGATAAGTACGTCTTCTTGTAGTTGTATATTCGAAGGAGGGAGCTAGTTCGACTTTCAAAAGTTTCCAATTGTGAGACTTTTAAATAGCATGAAATGGCCGTTTATAAATCGTCATGTGTCTGTATTTGCCAATGTGGACCGTAAAGTTTACAATATGGATCAAATTCACTGCCATATTTTATGAACCCCATATGGTCCCCTCTTTATCACCGTAGGGAAATGTGTGGTTTTCCGTACGCGGAAAATATACGGCTCGTAGTTCGGAAATCCTTAATTTAAGTGTAAAAGTAGAGCGGGTTCAAAATTTTTCGGAATTGGAAAAGTTTTTGAAAAGCAAATTATACCCTTAATTCGAGTACAAGATTGAAAAAAGACGGAAGTCTCTACTGAATGAGCAAAAGGATGAATATTTGCATACATGTTTTCCAGTAAATATGATTATGTTTTTAGGGGCATCGAAAATAAATGAAAAAATGCATGCTACATAAGTATTCGTTTTTTTACGGCGTGTGGTTTATGCATCCAACCGGAAGGAAGTTCATCTTAATGCCGGCCTCCTGCGGTAACTGAGTTATTGTTGAATTAGGCTGCAGGATTATTAGCTTTACAGCTGTATTTAATTAATCTTTTCGAAACGAAAACGCATTTCGGAACTTCTGCTGACATTTCATGAGTTAGACCTTCTGCTGTATGTAGAATGGAACGCAGCTCATAAAATTTGAATTTTATGATTGAACGACCAACATACGTCGACCTAACCCCCCAATTAATAATAAAAGGCTTTCAGTCCAACGAAGGTGATGTTGCAGGCAACACTAAGTTGAACGAAAGTATTAATTTTGTTAAGAGAAACGGAAATACTGAAAACCCAAAATTCCTATCACATGCGTACCGCCAATTTGTATAGGTACATAAAACGTACCTAGGCGAAAAACTGACCCATTTAAACAGCATAAGCTTGGTGTTTAGAAACGATCCGCATTTGCTCTGGGAGTAATTGTCTACAAAGATTTCCTTTGATATGAGTTATCGCGCAATATTTGATTATGTGTTTCAGCATGCTTGTACAAGAATTTGACGTAGTTTTTTTCAGTTTCAATGCTTGATGAGCGGTTAACGACGGCAGAGATGTTTCAACGACTTAGAAAGCTAAACAGATGAGCGTTTTTACATTGGCGCATGTCACTGAACCCGACAATGACTGCGAAATTAAATCACAACCATCTGCTGCAATAACAGGCATCCCACGCCCTTGTATTCTTAGGCGGTAGCTTTTCTATAATAACATTTTTGCTTTGCGGCAGCAGTGAAATTCGCGGTGTTTTCGAAATGTCAACGAATTATTCATCGTTCGAAACCTAACAAGCCGGACGGGTACTGAAGGTCTTCATCTATAAAGTTACTTTTGTGTTCGTTTTTCGTGCGAATGACGAGTTGAGTCATATGTATGTACTCACTCAAACATGAGACGAGATAGTCTGCATAGAATATGCATGGGATCAAGTTAGAACAGTTTATCAAATTAGTTGTTTCTGTCGGAGCCCTCCTCATAGTTCAGTTCATCGAATAATGCCCACGTCTCTTCTTACAGTCTAAAATGAATAAATATTCGGGCGTTTTGCATGTCAATTTAGTTTCCCGACACAGACGAAAAACGTTCCCTTCTCATGACATTGGAGTCATTTCCGTGAGCGTTGCCTATTAGTGAGCCTTGTTGCACGATTGCGAGCGCAGCACAGAGGCAATACATATATGCAAAACGTTTGCTTGAACTGTTGATACTGTAACCTTTCCACTCCTGATTTGCATTTCAGCAGAAAGTAGACGGCGAAAAAATACACAATTTTTTTCGCAATATTCACTGTGGCCCCTTCGTGGGTCTCTACGTGACTACTTATGAAGCATTCGAAAATGCCCGGATACTACGGAGTCGGTAAAACAAGTGTCTGTAAGCGTCTTTACTGCTTTATAGGGCATGGTAAAGTGCAGATCTACAAGTAAGAACTTTGAAATTGAATGACTGAGATCATGAAAAGTTGGCCGAAATTCTGAAATGCGTTTTCGACTGGGAAGGACTTCTTAGTCGAGGTTGTAATACTGATTAACCTGTGGCATAATACTTTAACATTTTGGACTCGGCAGGATGCCAGCTTTTGAATGCACTTCTTTTCGATCTCCAGTAGAAACCATGCTGGGTGAAAAAAGGATTACTTAATTAGCATGCATTTCTGATACTGTTTTTCGATGGCCTTATAAATTCAAATATATTCTAGAAAAATGAGCGAAAGCGTGCTTTCTTTCAATCATTTGATAAAGAATCACGTCAGCTTTATATTTTACACTCGAAGAAGGAGTAAAATTAGGATTTGAAAAAAGTTTTATAATCCTCGAATAATTTTGAGTCTGATCAGCCGTCGCATTAACGTTTACTGATTTGAGTCCACAAGATGCATGTGTTCCACGAAGGGAGAAATGTATATTTTTCTATGTATTTAAGAATATACCATACAGAGTCCACAAAATTTTGTAGTGAATGCGAACCATGTTGTACATTTCGTGAGGAGCAGTAGTAAATGAACAGGTACGATGCTGCATGAGTGGACATTGCACAATATTAAAAAATCACATAACCAGAAACTTTTTTAAAACCTAATTTTGCTACTTCTTCGACTGTAGAATATAAATTTATTGTGATTCTTTATCAAACGATTGAAAGGAGGCATAATTTATTCATGTTTTTATAAAATATATTTGAATTCATAAGACCATCTAAAAACAATGTGAGAAATGCATGCTAATTAAGTAGCCATGTTTTACCCAGCATGGTTTCTACTGGAGATTGAAAAGAAATGCATTCAAAAGTTGGCATCCTGCCGAGTCTAAGTTGTCATAGCATTATGCCGCAAGTTAATCAGCATTAAACCCGCCTAAGGAGTCCTTCCTAGTCGAAAACGCATTTCAGAATTTCGGTCAACATTTCATGATATCGGTCATTCACTGTATTTATTTTATACTCTGCAAGCATGGTTTTTATTCATATGCCGCCTTGCCTGATTTACGTGAAATAAAATATCTGTTTTCAGGTGGACGAGGGTTGCTTTGTCGTATTTTTATTATTTAACTTAATGTCTTCCAGAAGAGTGACTGACATCATTGCGCAGATGTGATCTGGGAGGGCTATTAGCGTAAGAAGGTTTCTGAACATGATGTTACCTTGATTCTCCTCTAAATGCTTAGGTACTGTACATTGAGAGATTACCAAAAAACATACACCATATAAGAAAAACAATTTCCGTGGATGTTAGGTACGTAAATATGATGAAAACTTTATCAGTGCGCCGAAATTATCATTCACACGATGTATGTGATCTAGTGCAAATGAATGATAAGCTGGCAGTAAATATTCAGCATGCTTTTGCTTATAATAAATTTCACCACGGGGTTCTAAGTCAGTAGCTGTTACTACCTTACACAATTACGAGGCCATTTTTAATATCGTGTTGATGAATTTTGACGAAAAGCGAACCGCGTTTGGTGTACGCGACCTGATTCGCAATCCAGTCTTTTCTCATCCGCCAACAGACTGCCGGATATTGTCTCGAACGCGCCACATATGAATCCCTTTATACATATGTTAATTTTGTAATACTACTTGCTGTCATGAAGACCGGAGTCAGAAACTGGAACGATAAAACAAGTCCTCAGGAGGACAGTGATTTACCATAGCTATTGAGATTTGCCTGAGTGAACTAATAATGTCCCATTTCTGCTTACATTTATTTTGAAATCATCTAGTATGACTAGATTTCGGTTCACCATGAGCGAGATTAGTTCCACTAAAACGCCTTTACTTCCGATAAATGAGTCTTTCCTAAAATAATTCTGTATTCTGCTATCGACGATTTCATCATCATTATCATCATCATCATCATCATCATCATCATCATCATCATCATCATCATCATCATCATCATCATCATCAGACTGAGCGATTTCAATTTCACATTCGGTTGAGCAGACAGGCTGCAGTATTAGTCTTTCGTCTACGCGAATGCAATGTGCGTAGGCGGTGCCCAGTGATTTGGAGACACTTCAGGCCAGACAGACACATTTTCACCTTCACGCCGTTTGCTGCAAGCGCAAGCAAATGCAGCGAATGCCAACAGTCCCAGTCTCAGACTTATTGTCAGCCCAAGAATCGATCAGAAAAAACGACATGCATTTTCACTACTGCACCATTTTTTATCTCTGACAGGATCCTGACACCCACTCCACCTGCTTTTGGCAAGCCAAAGGCATTAATAGAAGAAGAGATAGATGACGAACGAGGGGATCGGGTGGGGGGGGGGGCAGATACAACTGACGCAGAGTTGTGAGTTTTGTGGAAGTTATAAAAATAAAATGCTATAAAATTTGTCAGCGGTAGAAAGAATTGTTGTGCTTGGTAGGATGAGGGTTTTCCTTCATGTCAAGGAAACAGGCCCGTTAATTATGTGAAAAGGAAAACGAGCAGAAACAGAGAGATGGGAAGTAGGGATGGATGTGAGATTGGCCTGAAAGTGCCATCTGCGGGACGTCGACGGCGGGAGGCCGCAGCCTGCAGCCACTGACAGTTGGGATTCTTTTTACAGAGGACGGGGTCGAGCAGGCTGTTATTGGCCGATGCTGTGTCTGGGAACCTGCTGTGTGTCTGAATTCCAATGATACTGGGCGGTGCTACAATTTGAAATATATATATATATATATATGTGCGCATGTATAACAGTAGACTATGCGGGGACATTAATTGAGTTCTTGAAATTTATAAGTTTAGAATTGTGGCTGTCAGTCGTTTTGGAAAACAACAAAAAGACAGGCAATGTTTTCGTGGAAGGGTGATTTTAAAAGTAAACCAACCCATTCAGCCGAATTCTACTCGCGCATTCGCCAGCTAGGCCACGCTCACCGTTAAGATCCGGAGCTTAGCCACCTATTTATCTTCTTGCAGAACTTCTTATCTTATCTTCTTCTGATCTTCTTATCAGATTTCACTTGCATCTGCTCCTTTGTGCATGAAAACATAAAGCACATGAGTAGTTTGAATATCGCAGTATTATTCACGGACAAAATATTTTCCAAATCAATTTTGTGGGCAAAATCTAATCTTATAGCTTTGACTGTCGGAGCTAAGGGTTAGGAATTAGGGGTTAGGCATAAGGGTTGAAGAGCTGGGCTTAAGGGTTAGGGGTAAGGGTTGGGGCAAGGAGTTAGGACTTAATACTAGAGATAGGGGGTACGGTAAGGTTTTAGGGGTAGGGGTTAGGGTTAGAGGTTGTGGTTAAGGGTTGGGGTTAGGGTTAAACCCCTTATTACCGCCGGCCGCGTACGACAGGCGATTGGGGCTTGTCTTCTGCAGGCACGGCTACGGAATAAGGTTCGACTCAATTGTGACCCGGGTTTCTGTTGAGTCAGTCAAAAGACCACAGAAAAAGCCTAAGTGAAGCTACTTGCACGCAGGTTTACGCTACAAAGTTTATATAAGGTGCTGCAAACTTAAACAGCAGACACTTTTCGGTTTCAGGCTGTGTTTTACATCGACTTTCCGACGTCTTTGCAACTTTTAATCTGAGGATTTGATTTTTCCTGTTATAACATCTACAACCACAACGACTGTATGAAAACTGAAACCTGACCCGCCGGACATAGCGAAAGTGGGCGCATTCTAAGCATATGATGACCGCAGTAGGGAGGGACTGCCAGTTGTTCTTCATTTTGACCCAACTGTGTAAAAGTCCGTGACGTCGGCGGGATTCGAACCCATGACAGCAAGGGATATCGTAGTCTAGGCAGCGTTAGATGCACTCAAACGTTTCCCTCGTCGTGGATTCAAATCTTACCGAGTTCACAGAGTTTTGCCCAGATGTGTCAAAATGAATTATTCCAAAATCTTCCAAAACAACCATTTATAGGATTTGGTTGGATGTGGTTACGTAGCCCCACTTGAAGTAAACAAACCCCAGTCATCCGGGACCGTTGGTAATAGGGTTTTCTACAGGTGGGGCCGAGGAACGCAAAGACGACGAGTCCAAAGATTTGTATGAAAAAGGAAAAGCATTGGGGAATGCGCGGGTTACTTTGAGTGGTTGAAAAATAGTTGCACTAACCCCTAACTATCCTAGCCCTTAACCCCAACGGCATCGTGTCCATTAGGTTGGGCTACCAAACCGCATCTTACCTAAGAGTTTTTTGTAAAACACGTTGGATCGTCGGAATGAGAACTTGAATCGCTTTACGTCCTAGACTCCCTTTTCAGCTTACAATCAGGAAGGGGATAAGAGAAGGCATTGGGAGAGGAAGCTGTCGATAAAAAGATGCGAGTGTTTTATGGTAAATCTACTGAATTATAGGTTACCGAAAGGTCAATGACTGTCAACCTTCAGTGTTGGCGCACTTTCAATCGGTACAGCAATTGATCGGTAGGCCGTCTTCCGGTCATCCCATGCAAAGCCTTTTAATCGATGTTAGTAATCAGTTTTTCCGACATTATGAAAATTTGTCTCGTCAATTTTTATCCTAATTCCAATCCAAGTACTTGTTCCACCAGTATTTTTCAATTTCCAATTTTTAATGTCGTGTCTCACAAATAAGGTTACTGCCACATTACCGGTTAAGCTTTCTCAAGATTGATAATATATACCTTATAAAAGCATCAATTAGTCCTCGTTCTCAATTTATTTGCCTGTTAGAATAAGCGACAGTTGAGTGGGTTATTTAGTTTGTTGTAACGACGGCAAACAATCAAATTTGCGAGGGTGTGATTATAGCAAATCGTACCGCGTGTACCTGTAGGACTACTGCATTTTAACGATACCTACGCATCAGACCCCAGCGCTTTCATTTTGCCGACCGACTGTGTTATGTCTTGTCTTTATAGGTGGACTGCACTACTTAACACTGCTAGATAAAAAGCCAGACAACATTGCCGATAGCTGGGATTCGAAGGTAATAATATTGACCCGTCCAAACATGCCGCACGAAGCAGTGCTCCCAAAGTCGCCAAACAATGACTTTCTGATTGTGGTTCTTCCTAAAAATTTCAGAGTGGTTTTAATGAAAGTGCCCACTTTCTAACTTATAAAAAGGGTCGATATTCCTTTTTTGGTAAAGTCGTTCGAACGAAAATAGGAAAGCATTCGAGACGTTCGGAAAATGTCCGTTTTTTGCATACAAAAACGAAAGACGGTTGGACACGAGATTAATGACTAAAAACGAAGGTGGCGAATGGCTTGGCGTTTCGGATTCTCGTCCGCACACATCATCAGACACAGTCGCCCTTATCAGTGATGACTCCTTCGTACTATCAGTGGCCTTGTTTTAAATACTAGAGGATATTAGGCCTACACAAAAATCTCGTAATTTGTGCAAATTGTTTAAACTAATGTGAACAGGTTTTTTCGGAAATAGAGTCTCCTCTGAAATTGACAAAATGCAAATCATTCTGTCGCAACGTTAATGTCGACAAAATTCAGTGTGACTTCCTGTCAAGCTTTCGCTGATTTCGAAGGCAACAAGTAGGGACGTTGTAGATATTAATGATCAATGCCGTTATCAACACAGGAAGTAGTAGGTATGTAAAAAAGCTTCCGCTATAACACCTTGGCACACATACAACTATACTCCAGGCGGAGTTTTCAAACTAAAACCCTACGTTGAACCCCTCGTCCATCGATTGACGGCTTTTTAATCTAATTTATTGATCCAAATAAGTTTTTTCTTAGCAGTAAAGTAAACTCATTTTCAATTTGTATCAGCCGTTAGCAACCTCACGCTGGTCTAAACACGGCAATTAGGGGTGACGCACTTTGACTGCTTCTATGAAGACTTATGGGAGCATCAAACGAAGGAGCCCTTAAACAGATGTTGCTTTTGACGGCTGCAAACCGCTCCTGACGACTCTACTTCAAGTCTTCGTTTTCTGCATTGTACGAGCCTGCTACGTTCTCACTAAGGACCAAATATAGTTTCATCAATGTCAAAAACAGACATAGTTTGTAATAACATGCATCTTAGTTGATACAGGCAGTCCGCGTTGTTTTCCATCATAAATAGTGTCACGGATACTTGAAAAGCAGTCACTATCTTCGCAAACTATGTATAACCTGGGGCTGACACTGCTAGGTTCAGCGATAGAGACTTAAAAACGGATAAAAGTTCATAGTAGTAGGCAAGAACGTCTTCTTACAGAAATCACCATTTGAAATAGAGAGAACTGATTGTATGCCCGGAACCGTTAAAATCAACAGCTCGCATCTACGTCGCCCGAAATGGAAGCCTATGTAAGCGGAATGCGGTATGCAAAATTATTCTCGAATTCCTCTAATACTAAATCGGAAATTGATGCCTTCATCAGTTTGCTTCCAGTCGTCTGTCTAGAAAGCATGCGTCACCCAGTTGCACTTGAATGGAACATGAGGACCAGGTGATGGCTTTCATTTTTGATTGAGATTCATTTGCAAAACGAAGGTGGGCATTTTTTTGAGGATCTTGCTTCCGCCTCTTAGCACGCCCGCGGTAAATAAAACGTAAATAATCTGAGGCACGGCTGTTTCCAGGTTTGTGGCTCACGATCTAAATGTAGGGTTTTCCGGAACTTTGTATCTTAAGTTATTTTCGACAGCCCAAGTACGCAGAAGGGCAGAAAAAATGACGCATTGAAAAAGAATGGTTCTTCAACGGGATCACGGCTTTCCGTCCTTTTGAAATAAAGGAGGCAATTATGAGAAGTTGATGTCTCAGACAGCCTATCATTATGCAAGCTGCATTTGTAATCGATTGGCGATTATGTCCTTTAAAGTGCATGTGGAATGGTCGCAAAAATTATTTAAACCACATCCACTTGCTTGTGGCAGAGAAAACAACTGTCACGCATTCCATTTTAAATTGCTCACTTATTTTTCGAGAGTTCTAGGCTAGTTCTAATATTTTATCCTATTTTTAAAGAATAATTTATGTCCTTCATCGATATATTGGCGAGACAGTGTTCGTTGACAATGTCGTTTAAAGATCGAGAAGGGGGTTTTCAACTTGACAAAGTGCCTTTCAAAATCTCGCGCTCCTCTAAGTTCCGGCGTCCACAGATGCGCTGCGCAGAAGAACGCTATTTTGTTAATCCTTTCAAGAAAATTATAATTTTGAGATCGTGAGTATTGGTTTCTCCCCGAGTCATGTCTGACATTTTGAAATGTATGAACTATTGTAATGATTGGGATGGTAGCAAATTCAATCAGTGAAGAGCTCATAAACGTATCCTTATAGATAGTTTAGCAACGTAGACTCTTACGTCCCTCTTTTTTAAGGGAAGTGTGTTGTACAAGTGAAGAACAGGAACAACTACGCGCGAGGCTGCACTTCATGAAATCCATAAATCGAAAAATCAACAAAGCCAAACTCCACATATAAGTACTGTAGATGCACCTTTTTCCACTTTCCGATAACAACAGATATTAGCAAGATGGAATATGACACGCCGAAGCGTATGGGCAAGCACCCAAAGTTTTAGGCATGCTTTGCGACCCAGATGCTCACAAAAGAATGACGCAGGAATTGATTAGCACGAAGGACAACCCCTAGACACTAAAATATGTCAGTACGGCGCCAATTGTCTGAGCATCTTCCGGATACATACGAAGATCAGATGGGCTGTAACCGTACCTTTTCAGTAGTGAGTAGCACTCTCAGAGGTCTTTAATAATTACAGAACATAAAGTAGACTTCTAGGAAAAACCTGACAAGAAACGTGTTTGTAAGGCCAGTTTAAGAAAAATTGCATCTTATTTTAGGTTTTTTCATGGAAGGCGTTCATTTCACTTTCACATATACATTTATATTTTCATCCCTTGTTTTTACATGTCGTTTACATGTTTCGATGCGAACTCTGCCAGATGGTTTACTTCCTGATAATAGGTCTCAAGCTGTCCGCAAAATTATAACTATCATCTAAAGATCTTTATTTAAAATGTCACTAATATATGGTTGTCTGTTGGCCCACGAAAGTGTCCGTCACCATAATGATATTCTCTAAAGTGGGATGCAGTACCTTAGAGAAAACAATGTCTAGATTGATAAATTCCCTGTCCACGTTTTGGGTTGCAAATAATGTTCAACTAAATCTGGGTCTTGAAACTGGTATGGTCCTAAAGCTAGGAACTGTCCTGATTTTTTTGATTTTGAAAATAAATGTTACAGTCAAGGTGAATAGAGAGCGTCCGATGCTGATATCCGTTACAGGCTGTTCTGTTGGATTGACTTCACTTCGTGAGTGCAGTCACCATTTACTCTTTTCAAAATAACCCGTTCCAAATTCACTTTGACCCGTCTGGTAGTAACCGCGATAACATTACCTCTGGAACCGTTAACAACTAATCGCGCGCTATTAATTAGTCCAGCATCTTCGGGAAACTATTCGCTTAAAATGATCCCCAGGCAATTTATCCACTGACATCTGCCTGCTAGAGTAATCCAAAAACATTTTATCAGGTGAGAGTTTTAGTCTGCTTAAAAAATGTAAGAAATTGCTGCCTCGAAATGTGACTCTTTGCAGCTCTTTTTCACTGCGATGCCAACACTGGGGAAATTGTGCTCGTCACATCAGACCTTGTCCCAGAAAGAATGTATTGTTAGCCTGTCATTTTTAAGCCAGCTGATGAGTGCCAGGCAATTTGGAGTTTACATGACCGAATAGCAAATTAAGTTTTACAGTGTATTTGTCCAGAAATGCTTATGTGCTTACATGGCATTCTGAAAAGTAATTTTATCAGTTAACAGATATTCACGCGTTCGACATTCAAATTCTATTCAGGACAATTGGTTTTTCTAACTAGCGCAATACAATTCTGAGTAGGTTGTTCGCGTCCCCACTTAATTATAGGTTGCTTGCTTCTATTCTGGGGTTTTTGATGCATTTACTCCACATATTTCATTATAAGAAGATTTACTCAAATTGACGCCTAAAGAGTGCGTTTTATCGCATGCCAGAGGTCAGAACCACTGCTTTATATAATTACTTGACGAAAAGACAGAGAGGAATTAAATTGTTCCGAAGGGTCAGGCATCAACACTAGAAAAAATTTAAGACTCATCGACGGACTTGATAGGCGGATTTATATTCGCCTTATATGGAGTTTTATGAACAGATGAATATTTGTATATAACGACGTGTGATTTCACTCGCAAGCGGTTTTTGTCATAAAATAAGTATTTACGCAAATGGTACTCTTTGAAAATGAGCAGGTTTTGGGCTAACTTTACCTGTCGTATGAAATTTGACGACCATACAGTGGCCTTGTTGAAGTATGAATTCGGTAACATCTGTCAGATTCCTTGATGAAGATAATTCAACCATCGACCATCTGTGAACTCTTGTAGTCACCATCTACGCACATCCTGAACAGCTGACTGCATTTAATTCCTTAAATAACCGAAGTGGCCATTGGCTTTCTACTGGGGGATTCATTTTCAGCAGAATATCTTATAAATCTGCAGTTTGAAAAGTTATCTAAAACCTTATTAAAAGTCTTCTACTTACTTCTTTTGACGCACTGCTTATTTGAAAAAGGAAGGTTGTTTAACTACATCTGTTGAGAAAGAAAGGACGTCTAAGGACTATTTCAATAATTCCATAGAACGGTCGCCAAACCGTGTTTTGATGAAACTCTTTAGAAGGCAATAATAACATTTTAGGATTTACCAAGCATGCATGCAATATACGTAAACTACTACCGACTTTGGTATAACCGGCTCACTTGTTTGAAACGGTGCTAGGTGCAAAGCATTGCAAAACTCTTTTTTTTCACGACATCAGATGAGAACGTACCGAGATATTGTAGGTGATGATTTAAAGTAAAAGGTCTAGGACATTCCCGTTTGTTCAGTCCAAAACCGCCAATTAATCTCGTTAGGGACTTTTATATGTATCCAGCAAGTGAAAGTCATTCGTTTTACTATGCCTCTGTTGAGAAAATCGTATATTCCGTTCAGAACGCTGTATTATGTAATAAAAACAATAAAATAACGATAAATAACCTTGGATTGTTGATTTATCACCCGTGCGTCGTTTGTAGAGTTATGCAAACAATTTATTGTGAAACTATCTTATTGGAATAAGTACAAAGAGTCTTGTTTCCAAATGTACTTTATACTAGACAAAAATCAACTGTCAACAGACTTTGGCTGAATAGTTTGCCAAGTCACGCTCTGTATGACCTTCCAATACAACAAACCGCCGAGATTTTATGCAAAATCTTTAAACTACGCTCACTTAGTGGATATCGTTACCTGTCCATGGCCATGCCGTCACTGCTGCTTAAAGCGTGGTTCTGGCAACGAGTTCGAAACATTTTTCTAGAAAACCGGCAAGTTTACATATACCCTAGTGCCGTGGTGCCTACACAGTATTCAAAAAAATTCGCAGTACAGCATTTCGGTCATGGAGTAGCCCGTTCTTGACATCTTAAGTATTTTAGCCGTTATTCTATATCAGTCACTGAACTTCATTTGCCAGTAAGACAATTCGCCCATGAAAATTTTTCGGCGGCATTATTGCAAGCCATGCTTTAATGGGCTTTAAAGTAGTGCACAGGTAGTCCGGTTCCAGATAAAATGCCAATGTGTGTTCATAGGTCTTAAAACCAATGAGTTGTTTTCCGGTCAAGCAGATGATGACAGCTTAAGCAGAAGAGATGATTTCAGTTCCGTTGTGTTTGATACCAAACCGCCTCTAATGCTTTCGAGTCTTTACAATGAATAATCTGATGACAAAGTAACACGGGTTATTAGTGTTGGCTTACACTAAACCATCTAGATCTCGCCGCCGCTCTCCAAAATGACATATGGTAGACAAACGCCTCAATCTCTTGATGCATATAGCCTATGCGCCACTCGCTGCAGACCCAACGAAAAAGCAAGCCGCGATTATCAGGAAGAAAGTGAATGAGCTTACCCGATTGAAGCTCATAAGCCCCGATGACAGCAGATATATGATCCTCAATGACCCCCGTATCGCACGTGCGTACGGCCGTCCGAAGGTGCACAAGACAGATGCGCCGCTGAGGATCATTGTGCCACTTATTGGATCTCCTACTTAAAACCTTGCCAAGTGGTTATACAGACACTTAAAACACCTCGCAAATGGATCGCTATAAAGCATCAAAAATTCTTAGGCTTTCCTACAAACGATCCAAGGCCTTGAAGTAAGTCCTGACGAATGCATCCTATCTTTCGATGTTGTTGCCCTGTTTTCTTCAATACCGCATGATCTAGCGATTGACAGCGTAGCCTGATGTCTAGAGCAAAGTCCCATTGGCATTCCAACAGACCATGCTCTAGACATGCTTAAGCTTTGCCTCAAGAATTATTGTCAGTTCGATGGAAAGTACTATCAACAAATAAAGGGCACCCCAATGGGCTCCCCAATATCAGGGCTGCATGCAGAACTAGTTTTGCAGCAACTAGAACAGGATATTGTGCAAACCTTCGAACCTAAAATGTGGCTCCGCTACGTGGACGACAAATTTGTCATCACACAGACCTTGGAAGTTGAGCGATTGCATCATAGCTTAAATAGCGTCTTCCCGGCTATACAGTTTACTTGCGAAGAAGCAACAGGAGATACCCTCCCGTTCTTAGATGTGAGCATACAAAGACTTAGTGATGACAAGCTAGCGACAAGTGTCCACAGAAAAGACTCTAGTGTCGAAATCATACTCAAATATGGGAGCAATCATCCTGCGGCCCATAAACGAAGCTGTGTCCGCACTCTTTTCAATCGGGCCTATCGCATCTGCAACAGAGATGACTCACTTAAGAAAGAATTGGCCTACTTACATCGGTTATTCCGCTCCAACGGATATCCTGCCAGTTTTGTAGAGAACTGTCTCAGACGCTAGAGATAACTACCAAACCCCGAGTCTCATGAAGATAGAGCGTCGCAGAAATTCTATTCACTGCCGTACATCCAGGGAATCTCTGAAGCACTCTCCCGGCAAATAAAACGCTTTGGCATCTCCATTGCCCATAAGCCCGCATCTTCCCTACGCGAGACATTATGCCGAGTAAAGGACCCGGTGCCCAAAGAACAACTACGTAACGTCATCCACCGCATACCGTGCGCCAACTGCCCTTGTGTTCATATTGGCCATACAGGTTGATGTCTTGAGACTCGCATTAACGTACACAAGTTGGCCCTCCGCCGACGTGACCCTCTGTCCCTCGTGTTTGCGCACGCCCTTAAGCATGACCACCGCTTCATTTGGGACGGTACTGAAGTGATCGCAAAGGCAGGCGCGAGAATTCCTCGAAGCTTGGCATTCTGGCACGACCAGCATCAACCGCCACGTCGATCTAGACGCTCACTACGAGAGCTTACGTACACGCTCGCTGTCTTGTTCCCACACCCCAACAACTGCTAACCCCCACTCGGCCACATAGACGTACGCTGTTTCGCCATTCCGCTCTCCCCCCTTGCGACAAGCTGAACAACAACCGAAACCCCACCTAACACTTCCAACGCCGGCGCATTGCCCCCTGACCTCATCCCGCATCATTGACCAGCCGCCCGCATTCCCACTGATTCGCAATCCACCCCCGCGTTTTCAGCACCTCCAACACTGGGAGCCCTAACGGTTCTTCCTTCCCTCCCCCTGCCCCACGGCCTACCATAACTAGGTGCCCACCCCCCTCACACATCAGATGTCTGTCTGTCGTTGTCTGTCCTGTCGCGCCAGCCGACCTAGTCTGCCGATTTCACTTTCCCCTCTGTTCATTTCGTATGACGACGGGTCGGTGTCACCGACTTGAAAATTTACGAACACAACTCAATTTTCCGAAGAGCCTTCACTTTCTCATTGTATCAACTGGGAATGCACTCCACATCAATTATTCAGCATCGTTCAATTTTACCATAACGCAGAAATACTTAATCCACATGTATATCAGCGTCCCTGAATCTATGCGGTGATATAAGCCCAGGTAGGTAAGTGAGAAGTAAAAAACCAGCAAGTGGCAGAAAATAGGGGCGACATTTTAGGGGTGGCTGGACATACCAGAGAAAAAAGGAGAAACCAGGCTCTAGTTCTGCGGTCAGAGGAAGGATGTCTATAGGCTGTGTTTTTGTGTCGTCATAGTACGGTGACGTGGTGGAATGTGGGCATGAATATGTGCCATACAGGGACACAAATTACTGTACGCATTTGATGAGGCAAAAAAGAAAGCGTAAGTGTAATGGCTTTGACTTTTCAAATGCCTAAATGAATGTTTTTTCAGAATTTGACTTAAGATCTCGGAGAACTCGGTGAGCTTCAAAATCACAGCAGCTTACAGTGAGTGACCTATCTCATGAAATGTTGGCTGAAATTCTGAAATGCGTTTCCGGTTAGGAAGGATTACTTGGTCGCGGTTGGAATACTGATTATCTTAAGACATACTCTTATAACATATCAGACTGGGCAGGTTGTCGGCTTTTAAATGCACTTCTTTTCAATATCCTGTAGAAATCGTGCTCGGTAAAAAATGACTACTTAAGTAGCATGCATTTTTCCCATTGATTTTCGATGGTCTTGCAAATTCAAATATATTTTATAGAAACCATAATTAAAAATATGCTTTCTTTTAGTCAACCAATAGAGAATCACGTCTTCTTTATACTCTATACTTAAGGAAGGAGTATAATTAGGTTTTAAAAAATGTTCTAATTGCCGAATAAATCGAAGCCTGATCATTCATTACATCAGCGCCTAGTGCTTTCACTCTACAAGGTGCATGCGTTTCGCGTAAAGAAAATCACACATTTTTCTATATCATTAAAGAGATATCATACAGAGTTCATAAAATTTTGCAATGGATGCGGACCATGTTGTACATTTCATGAGGAGCAGTGGTAAACGGCCAGGTACGATGCTATATGAATGGACATTTCGCGGTCTTAAAAAGTCTTATAATTAGAAACTCTTTTAAAACCTAATTATACTTCTTCCTTAAGTATAAAATATAAAGAAGATGCGATTTTCTATTGATATTTTATATTTTATACTTAAGGAAGGAGTATAATTAGGTTTTAAAAAAGTTTCTGCTGGGCCAAGTTGGCTGTAGTCAAAAGCTTTTGTCGCTATCGGCTTAAAAATAAAGCTTTTCTTAATTGGGTATTTTATCAGTTCGTTCAAATAGGTCAGAAACATCCTTACGGATCCAGTGAGATTTTCTAAAAGTGTCTAAAACAATTCACCTGGTAAACACCCGATGGAACATAATCTGGCGTCATTGCTCTCTTTTGTTGGGCATTGGCTTACCGAAAGAAATGCTGACTGCTGAAATCCTGGGAGTGTGCTTTCGACTCGAAAATACTACATTTGCAGGGCTGCAATATTCCCTGTCATGCGGTATTTCAATCACAACGGGTTACCGATTTTTGAACGAGGGTTTTGTCGGCCGTCGGCAAAAACTAAACCGAGGCGGTCCTACAACGGCTGGAGTCGCTGGTTTTCCGACACCACAGACCGAAATTTTGGGCTCGATATGTGGATGACACCTTCGTCGTCATCGAACGGGATCAGGTGCTGACGTTCAAAGAAAAACTCAACGCCGTCTTCCCGGACATTCAATTTACGATGCAGGAGGAGGAAAACAATCAGCTGGCCTTCCTGGATGTCCTCGTCTGCCGCAAAGATTTTGGTGGCCTAAAAACCAAAGTGTTTAGGAAAGCGACAAATACGACGCAAATACTGAACTTCAATAGCAACCACCCGATCAGTCACAAACGCAGTTGCGTAAGGGCGCTATACCGGCGCGTTGAGACGCACTGCAGTGAAATGGAAGACAAGGTTGCTGAACTACAATATCTTCGACGGGTAATGAGAGCCAATGGTTATCCGCGCAACTTTGTCAACCAGTGCATACGAAAAGGACACCAGAGACCAAATCCAACCGGACCCAAATTTTGGCGGGCTCTTCCGTACGTGAAGAACGTCTCGGAAGCCGTCAGTCGTCTTCTCACTCCACTTGGAGTTGGGGTTGCACACAGGCCGGAAGCAACCATTAGGCGCAAAGTCATGAGGCCAAAAGACCCGCTGCCACGGCAGGACACGTCTGGAGTCATTTACCGGATCTGGTGTAGTTGCGGACAAAGCAATTATGTCGGAGAAACTGGGAGATTACTCCGTACGCGACTTGCCGAGCACGCAGCAGCAGTGAGGCGGGGAGACGCTAACTCTCTGGTGGCGGCACACTCGACGGGACCCGGCCATATTTTCAAATTTCAAGAGGCCGAAATCCTCGCAAGGGGTGACAACCGCGTGAGCCGCGAGCTGCTCGAGTCATGGTTCTCAGGCCCGCAATCCATCAACAAACACAATGACCTCCCGGTGGCCTATTCCGTATTGCGATTTTCCCTGGGCAGGAGAATCAGTCACGTGGGGAGGGCGCGGATGAGCAATTATCACGGTGACAGTGAGCCAGTTTGCCGAGCAATCGTCACACCAGCATCGAGCACGGATGACGAAATCGCGGCCATTAACAACTCGGACTCGGACCGCCAAGCCACCGCCGCATCAATTACGACCCCAGCGGTGATTACGAGAACTGTTAATTGCAGTGCGCATACGGTCCCACGGCAGCCACGTGCTATAAATACTGCACTCCTGGTGCCACCATCACCTTGATCTGCGAATGTCTCTGATGATGGATTCGAGTGAGGATCCGAAACGTCAGGCAAATCAATTTCTTGTTCCGGTGATCGCATCTTCATCTTCTGAAAAACTAAACCCTCAAAAATGCTTATTATGTAGTGTGATTTCTGCCCACTGACAATCAGCGCCCTTGCAAATTCAGATATATATTTATAGAAAGCATGCACAATGGCGTGTCTTGAGGTCTTGAAATGTTTCCGGTTATGAGTTTACTAAGACTGCAAAATGTTTAACCATGTAGCAGCACATCAGCACGTCCACATTCATTGGGAAATTTCCTCAGCACTATATGATGTCTTTTCAGTGGCATGTAAAAATGGAAAATTCTCCTTGCACAAAAAGTATACCTTATGTAGATTTGAAATTCTGAATGCGAATGTAACGGTTGACTAAGTCAAAAATATCCGGGAATTGGGAACGCTTTTTATACCGAGTGACATATTTTATTTAAGTGTAAAGTTTAGGAAAGACGCAGTTTATTACCAAATGAGTAAAAACGCAAATTTTAGCGCAGATTCCCCCAAAAATAAAGTGGAATTTACAATAGCATTGAAAATAAATGAAAAACATTTATACTACATAGACGTTTGTTTTTACAGAGCGCACTTTCTGCGGCCGGCCGAAAAGAAGTGAAATAAAAAGCCTGGCGTGGAAGAAATATCCTGGGATAACGCTGCACGGTAATAAATACTATCAAGCAACCTTTTCGAAGAAAAAATACATTTTAGAATTTTAGTTTTTATTTCATGGGAGGGGACAGAATATTGTCAAAATTCAGACGGCTAGCTTAATACTAATTTGATAGTAGGCCAGAACTAGAAAGTGCCGCAAACCTTCCAAGTTAACAGATCTGGACTGACTGCAAAGCCGTCTAACGTGCAGAATGCTACACACTCAGATAAAACTTAAGACTCTTTCAAAGTAAAGTGCAATTCAACGCTGACTGAACTAGCCCAAGTGGAAAGATTTGCCATATTAATGAACACTCACTTAGAAGGAGAAATTCCTAACTCAGTGCATGCGAACGCCCATTAAAACGTAAAATTAAATTAAGCTAAACCTCTAAACAGCCAGTAAAATATTATTAAGCCGCATAATAACTCTAGCTTAGTTTTAGCACACATAGCCTTTGCGTGCTTGTTTTCTGGATTTATCTACTTTCGGTAAACCTTAAGCACGATTGCGTAGAACCTCGCATCTGTGTTTGACAATCGACAGGGCGTCGAGGGGTAGATGATTCAAACATTGACATGTGGCGTTGACAGGTATAATTCTGCTTGTCGCTTGTTTAGTCAGTCTTACTTTAGTCTCTATGTTGCTCTATCACAGGCAACAATTATCCAAACGTTTTCGTTAGGAACTGATTGAAGGGTTTCACTTTGTACAGAATGGGAGGAGAAAGAGAGAAAAAGAGTCAACTGGCCAACAAAGCGGACGTCTAGAAGGCAAGCATCAAACCGGCAGCTGAAAATTTTAACTAAGCTATTGCGTCTGCAATAACTGCATTTGTCCAGGCACTTGCGTTTATAAAGTCCTGAAAATTTTATTAGAAGGTTAGTAGTGGTATACAATAAGTAGACTAACTCATAAAATCTCGACCGAAATTCCGAAATGCGTTTTTGTTTTCAAGAGATTAATCAAGTGGGTTGTAAAACCAATCATCCTACACGACGATTCTATAATAAGTCAGTTACCCCAGGACTCCGGCTTTCGAACAAATTTCTTTTTGGCTGCATGCACAATCCACACTCTGGAAAAAAGACTACTTAAGTAACATGCACTTTTTCATGGATTTTCGATTCTCTTGAAGATGCAATGATGTTGCCTGGAAAACAAGCATAAAATATTCATTTTTTGCTCATTCAGTAGAAAATTACGTCTGTTTTTAATTTTACACTCGAAGGAAGGGTATAATTTGGTTTTATAAAACTGTTACAATCCCGAATAATTTTTAACCCAACCTGTCGTTACACTTGCGTTCGGGGTTCCCAAACTGCAAGCCGTATAATTTCTATGTGCGGAAAACCATACATTTCTCTTCGATAATAAGGAAGACAATATAGGGTTCATAAAATTTAGCAGTAGATTTGACCACGTTGTTAACTCTGCAAGCCACATTGGTAAATGCAGAGACGTGAAGTTTTATGAAGGGCCATTTCATGGGACTAAAATATTTAAAAATTAGAAGTTCTTTAAAATCAAATTATGCCCTTCCGTCAAGTGTAATATTGAAAGAAGACGTAATTTACTACTGAATGAGCGAAAGAATGAATATTTTCGTGCATGTTTTTCATGAAATACATTTGAATCATTATTGGCATCGAAAATCAGTGAACAAAATGCATGTTACTTAAGTAGCCAATGTTTACTGAGTGTCGTTTTTGCATGCAGCGGGAAGGACGTTAATTCAAAAGCCGGCATATTGGCGTAACTTAATTATTATAGAAGTATTCTGCATGAAGATCTGTTTTTCAACCCTAATTTATTAATCTTTTCAAAACGAAAACATATTTCGGAATTCCTGTTCGCATTTCATGAGTTAGCCCACCTACTGTACATCCAACATTAATACTGCTTGGACCGGCTGAATAGCCGCTGTGAGACTGCTGGTGGGTCTTGAAAGAGAGCCGCAAGGCTGTAGCGGGCAGCCATCATGATCGGTCTGGTGTCATTATTCAAGACCGCGCTGTCTCAAGGTCATTCACCCCTTGCAGCGAGTCGTCCCAGACGAGCTGCGTCCACACAGCGTCGCGGCTACCCATGCGCCACTAGAACGCGCCGCCCCCTGCAACCAGCAAAACAAGCCACTGGGACACCACCCCTTGGCAAATGCAACACGCACGCTGATTGGCCACCACTTGAGCTTGGCCCACGAGCTCACAAAAGCGGTTGCCACCACTGTCTCAGGGACTCTCAGACATGACTGAACGCAGTCAAAATCAGCCTCGTTCTGTTTTTGGCGGGGAGCTGTAACGAGCAGCCATCATGACCGGTATGGCGTCATTGTTCAAGACCTCGCTGCCTCAAGGTCGTTCACCCCTTTGCAGTGAGCTGATCCAGACACGCTGACCTGAAGTCACACGACCGACAGCCCGTGCATACCTCCGTCCACACAGGCGCAGCTGCCCATGCGGCCACTTGAACGCATCTCTCCCCTGCAAGCACAACCTAAGCGACGTGGACGGCTCTCTGAGACAGCGAGGTCTTGAACAATGACACCAGACTGGTCATCATGGCTGCCCGCTACAAAGCACGACGGGACGATTGAGTTCTGTGGCGCGATCGGTGAGCGCATTTCTACCAGCGATGATTATTATCTCCACCGTCCTCTGCCCGCGCAACATCAAAGTGGTGACCTGATAAGCTTAATGTTCCACGTGGACTATATTTTGTGCTTTTATGCTGTATAATAATCGACGTTCATGGCAAAGTTTGCTCTTTGGAACACCAGACAAACGCAGTGGTCTCCTTTACGTTCTTTCTGAGGAAATTAAAAAGCATCAACTTCTTTAAAGGCTAAATAGCGGGTCGTAATCCGCGAAAACAGGCGGAAAGCACCTCCAACGGCAGTTAGTCAACTAATCTAAGAAGGAAGCATGGCTTTTATATATTTAGCAGGGAATTGTTTTTTAGCAAAAAGACAAATTTTAGAGTGCGCTACCTCCTTGATAGCTAACGTTTCTTGATTTGAATTCAGTCTGTATGCAAGTCTCTCTCAGTTTGGTTCTAGGACCACTTGTCTTTAGGGCAAGGCCTCGATGAATTTGCGACTGATCCCAGTTTTTGGATAGGAACTAAGAAGGCGATAACGTTTAGTGCCAAATGTGTCTTATCCTAATGTGATTTGGCATCGTATTCAATAGGCATAATGTTTAGAGTATGACTGTTCTGCACCGATAGGTCTACTCGTCACGTGCTCTCAATGGTGAACTTTAAAGGAATATATGGCATTCACTTGGTTATAGATTTTCAGCACAGGATTTAGTAATGTTGGTTATCAAATGTTTAAATTCTCTGTATATGAAAGCATCCCATGCCTACTGAATAGCCGCATCTACTTGATCCTTTGACTGGCACGTTCTATAATTGAACAGGTCACTGTAGTAACCAAACTACGGCTAAGCTATCATCTCGTTCTCTCTGCCATATGCATGCCATGGCTGTTGAATTGATGGAAAAAACGGTAATTAAGCGGAAGACCACTACATTTATGACTGAGCACTCGTCAACTTCAGGATGTTTCGCAAAAAGCTACTTGACGGTTACACGTGCGCCCTTGTTAGATCGCCTGACGTAGGTGTCGGACAGTATATGCCAGTCCTGCCAACAGTAGTTCTGAAGTAAATTCCTTTCTATCTGAGAAAACCATCCTACATACTGATTCATTCAGGTAAGGCAATATTTTGCCTCACGAATATTTGCTTCTTGTCGTAATTTGTCAGTTGCGGTATTCGCCTGTGAATTCTAGCCCCTAAAACCAGCAGTGCCAAACCTCGCTTGATGGTGCGTACGCTGCTAGTTACCGCGAATACCTCACGTATAACCACTTTTTTGCGCCTCAAGCGCATAGCTTCTCCTTCTTCCGGCTCGTTTTTTCCCAGCACTTTTCAGGAATCGCAGTGAAGTCAGTAACCACTGGTTTTGATTGCCTTGCTTGTCGTCGGATTTGCCTTATGCTAAGACGCACTGCACACCACGCCGAAATCTCACCTTTCCTCAACGTCTGCTAATTGCATCTTTCCTGGCTCTTATAAAGGGTAGAAAAAAACGATCAGAGCTGGTCGAGATTTGGAGCACATCGATCTGCGATGGCTGTTCACCCGGTCGCTATGAGTCTATTAATTGTTGGTGACAGCCCCGTCAACCTAAACTTAATCTGCCATTCATATAAAGTCCCCTTATAGATGTGAAGTAAAGCTGGCGCAATAGGCTGGCTTTATGACTGTGCTAGAGCCATTTTTGACCGTACCATATGACATTATATTAAATTATGTTTGACAAGGCCTAGTTTGGGCTGTAAAATTGCCGTAAAAACTAAAGTTACCAACAACATTTATCGAGCTCATAGCCAAAGCACATGGTAAGTCCATACCAGTCTTTTGACATAATGTTTTTTTTCTAATGTGTATTAAGAGAATGCATTTTTCAGTTGGCAGTGTTCCCAACTATACTGTTCTGTGACATACAGAGTTTCTTGCTTTTAATTGCGCAAAATGTCCGTTGATTTCATGCCCCAATTTCTTTTACCCGTTAATGAAAGGACACATTTTGTTTGCTATTTAAAATAAGAACTTTATCCTGCAGTAAATACCACTATATAACGATTTATAAGTACTATTGGAAAGTGACAATACAATCATTACATGAATTTATGAAAAGACTGCCAGTTTTTCAGGTAGGTTTGGAGATTTGTGTTAACAAACCTCCGATCGATGATTTTGCGATGGACACATGGAAGATCTCAATATTTTATGGCTTAATCCATCTTTCTGAGTGCAAGGCCATTCAATTAATCTGAACAAATAGTTAAGCATTGCACGCGTCTAACGAGCCTGCAAGCTTCTAAATCAAATTCACACGGTTTCTCTCCTATTCGTCTTTTTGCAGCTAGTAAAAAGCGAAAAAAGACTGACGCCTAAATCCAAGCTGAACGTCAGCCAGTTTCTCAAGCGCTCTAAACTGAATCTTTCATGCTGTCATATAAAATTGTTTATTTCTAATTAATTTCATGCATCACGAGACTCGGCATTATTGATTCTATTCCCGCTCGTGAACAGTGTTTCCACCTATTTCTGTCAGTTTGTATCACATATGTCATCTAGTGCGGAGGCCAAGATTGGATTGCGAAACAGATCAGGCATAGGGTTTTATTTAAAAAACGTATGCCCGCTAGTCTATAAGCTGGAGGGTTCGACAAAAGTTTCTAAAAGAATCTTAGGTTAGATGGTAGTTGGTTGCTCTCCCGGTACCGAAAACTCCCAGCTACCTGTCTTACGGGACCGGTGGTAATAGGAGCTATGCGGGTGGGGCAGATGAGTGGAGGCGTAAATGGCGCTTTTAGGGTATGCCTGGAATTGATGTTCCTGGCAAAGTGGAAGCCTAATTTAAATAATGTAAAAAATGCAAGGAGGGTAGAGAAGTAAGCATGGATAATTAGCTCGGTATGCGGAATAAATGCATCCTTGCCCCAGATTGGAAAGAATAGCAAGTGAAGGCGAACAACCAATAGGAAGAAGGCAGTGTGTCTTTAGGTCATTCCGCAGTATGTGCGATAGTACTCTAACCGACAGAATGGACATGAGAACACGAGAGTCAAGTAGCGGCACGCAGGACGGCATAACGCAAGCGGGATAAGACTTTAATGCGAAAAATATGTTTGGGCGAAAGAGAAAATCTGCAAATAATAGTGTATTGTCACTGTGGCCACATCTAGGATTAAAACCATGGCAGTAGTTGTTTGCTATACGTGAATGGTGTACTATACAATGTAAAGAGGAATTAGCATTCTGTATATGAAATTACACTTTATTCTGCTTACAGAGGTCAGTCTCTTAGAAGGCGAAGGGAAGCAGGATCGCAAGTTGATAGGCCGACAGATTATTCGCGGATCCTGGAAATAATCCAGTCGTCCTACCTAGTGCAGCATCTCCAGCAGAAAGGACTACTGACCTGTATAGTCTTATGTAGATGTCGAAAGGTCATGTCCTTACAAATACTGCGACAGCACACGGATGGTTATGCCTTCAGGTAACATCTGGGTACTGTGGTATGCAGCCTAGGATAGTATCTCTAAAATGAATCCGATACAGGTAACACAGTGCGCGCATGCAATTAGAAGCATAATGAGAAGCATGATGGATCATAATCCGCCTAGGATAAATCTTTCGCCCTTTACTAAAGATTTCAGGGTAGGGGTGCAATACGATGAGTCTATATAGACATTTTTGCAGCGCCTTGTTCTCGGGGCGGTTAAAGTGAAGAAGAAAGTCATCCAGACAGGGCTTCTGCGCGTGCACTCCCAGACATAATGAGAACGTAATAACAGAGGTTGAAATCGAGCCAGTAAGTACAATTGTATAATCAGTGGGCAGGGCTACCAACTACCATTCTACCGAATCTTAGATGCACCCAGTCCAAGTTTCTTTTGGCATCTCCTATGTCCTGATCGTAATTTAAGGCGTTCTAACTTGTATGTAATAAGAGTCTCGCAGGAGCCTCCGATACACCGCTTAGCACAGGCACTCTGCCTTACATCAGGGGCGACTTGATTGCTTCTCATGAAAGGTAAAAACAAAATATCCGCTTTGGTTTTTTCTGAGTGGAATAGTAGGATTCGGGTTTTAACCAAAATGTCTACTGAATAGTTTACGAGTAATGTGGGCCATCTTTTGTGCGGCACACATGAGTCGCCCTTGCAGGAGCATCCATTTGCCTTCGTTGCTTGTTTCCAATAACTTTTTATGCATGTGATACATAAAAGCTAGTAGAGGCAGAGAGCCGAATCCCAGGAAGCAGTCGTGAAGAAGGAGACACAAACGATGGGTCAAGAGTTTTATTTGTGTGACGTTTCGGACTCCTACTCGAACCCATCATCAGAGACAACAGCAGATACAGCTCTAACAACTGTGATATTGTAAATTATAATTCTGAAACAAGGCTTTAATTCGCCCTATTTAATATTGGCTGTTAGTATATCGTCACTGTCGCCTGTCAATTTTAACTCGGAATACAAAAATGCCCGACTATGTAAGCCTACTACGTAATCTGAGCAGTTATGCCTAGGACATTGTCATAATCTTTATCGGTAACAAACGGGAGATGGCACCAGAAAAATTCCGTTACCTAGAAATAATACCTTTAACAGTGGACTCAAACACCCTCAGGCTATATCAGCGGTTGCCGGCCTACTTTCACGCATTACTTTGACTTTCCGCGACGGCCTAACATGGGCTGGCCGAACGAACATCGCAGGAGGTTACATGGACGATGGTCGCTGTTACCCACCCTTCCCCATCGTTACACACGTACACCTGAATGTACGGCATACATTCGCATTATGACAGTTTATTACAACAGAAGATCGCTTTTACATAGGATAAGTCTGCACAGCATGGAACCAAACCAAAGACGAAACGTCACTTCGAATATAATATGGTCCATGGATTCGCCCTCTCTTCTTCTTCGTCTTCTTCGGGAGATGATGAACGCGATACAATGTCTGGACCTCGAATCTTTACGCATACCTTTAACAGTGGACTCAAACGCCTTCAGGCTATATCAGCGGTTGCAGGTCTACTTTCACGCTCTACTTGGATTTTCCCCGACGGCCTAACATGGGCTGACCGAACGAACATCGCAGGAGGTTACATGGACGATGGTCGCTGTTACCCAACCTTCCCCATCGTTACACACGTACACCTGAATATACGGCATACATTCGCATTATGGCAGTTTATTACAAATCAAAATCCATTTTAAATAGGATAAGTCTGCACAACATGGGACAGGAACAGTTCGCAGGCATCTGTCAAAGACATGGCATTGAGGCCAAACCAAAGACGATACTGTACTTCGTCTATGTGAACCCACGCAGCCCGACCACATACAGGGTCGCCCTCGTGGAGTTTCCTTTTCAGTCCACTCCAGTATGCCTCAATGGCATTGGTGTGCCGTCCGGTGGTAGGGTCCTTGAAGTCCTTTGAGTGGTTAACAGAGAAATGTAGATAACCTTCTGAGGGAAGGGGATCATACGCCTTCCACTAGACCGTTACCACTATACTGCTTTTGGCGACCCATTTTGTAATAACGGAACGGAGAGCGGGTCAACTTCGTTCATTCACCTCTTCAAATAAGCCTTTCTGTCGGCTAGTATCGTACATCTCGACCAGTCATTACTCATAAAACCCCTATTACGACCTGTTCCGTAAGACAGGCTGCTGTGGTTAGGCGGATTTTTTTGGGTGCCATCTCCGGATTGTTACCTCTCTATTAAGCTATTCTCAAGAAAACCAGGCACCACTTTTAGTGTCACCTCGGTCTTGGTTCAGATCTTCCAGTCTAGGTACCGATCGGGATGTCGACTAACGCCTAGGAAAGAACGACCATGCAGTTTAATCAACACATAATCAGAGTATTGAAACAGCTGTTTCAGTCTTATTTTTCGTATTGTACCACCAACATTCTAACTAAAAATTCTGGTATAACTAAAGCTCAAATGACAAGGGCATTTGCTTTGAGTACACAATAACCCTTTGGAACTAATTTGGAACAACGAGTACATTGGCAAATTAGATTTAGAGACCGCCACCAAATGACTGTAAATAAATCCATTAAAAGCAATCTCGTTGTTACCTGATTCTCTTAGTTATGCATTCTAAGATAAATAATTTTCTTCCTTACCGAACTGAGTATTTCCTCTTGAGTAAACTTTCCAGAAATGTCTGCAGACGCTTTTCAGACTATATTGAGGGATTATATCGGCCTGTTTTTCGATCAGTGATTCAGTGGGAAGTACTTGTTTGCGATAAATAAGGGCCGTCGTATGATGTGTAATCAGTAACTAGGGAGAAGTATTTCCCCTTGAAGACATCAAGTAGCCCGGACATGCGGAAATTAGTTTTTCAGTTGCAAAGTTTCCTGTTTTTTGCACGTGGGATTTCTATTTCACCCTTACTCATGGTTTATTAAGCATTTTACCTTTTACAACGATAAACCTCACGATAACCTCAAAATGGTCAGACAGAGCATTGTGAATTCGAAATGGTTTTTACAAAATTGTTCAAACAAACAAATGTCAGTCGTAAAGTAGAAAGCCAAAAAGGGCGTTCAGACGTTAATACTTGCTTAAAATATCAAAATGTAGTGAGACATTTCACTTTCTACGACCATAATGGCCCATGCGCAGCCGCAGTCAGGAAACATACCCAAGTTTTATGGAAATATAAGACTGCCGCAAAAGACTAGAGTAGTTTTCAGCTAACTGCAGTTTGTAAAAATGGGAACATGCTAAAGCAACATATGTTGACTGCTGAAAGGCCTTTGGGCTCTCATTTTTTGCCAAAACGGCATGCTTTTGGGCAGACATGCTCGGTATGCAACAGCTTACCGTGTTCCGGAACGGGAGTGATCGGAATGCCTAAAAGCAGGGGGGAATCAAGCTGTTTATCAATTCCATGACGACGGAGCTGATTTATTCTAGCCTACTGATGGCCACTCTACGAAGGCATATGCTCTAGGAGGTTTGAACTGCAAATTCGAATCGTTAACCTGTAAATCAGTACGCATAGAACAGGCCCGAAATAGCCCTGTATTAGAAGTAACTATTACTGGATGACTGTAAATGTTCTTAAATAAGCAGGATGTTTTATTTTGGCAAATCCTTAGTGGAAGCCGATAAGCAGTTAGCGTCTGGGTACACATCCCCAAAGAAGTCATTTTCCAAATTTGTTGCCTACTCGGTCCTATCAGAGACCTCTCGTATCAAACTAACATATATTATATATGTAGCTTTCGCCAGAATCACATGATGAAGTGGCACCCATCAGTGAATGTTGTTATAGGCTTCAGTCTAGTCTGCCAATTGGTTATGATGGACGTGCTCTTCCGCCCTAATAGATGAATTCATTTTAATTCGGATATGAGGACATTCAGGCGCAGGTCATTTGTAAAAAGACAAAGGGCAAAGACTGATTGTGTGAGCGGGGTAAGAAAATGCCAACCTTTGTTTAAAACAGTCACTAGCGTGTTAACAACCCTGCCATACTGGTAGACGTGTGCATTCAATCTAGAATTATATCAAGTGTTTTTTTACAACTTGGATACTCTCCGAGCCGGATTTTTTAAAATCGAACTTTACTCTTGCTAAAGAATTAGGGGTTGGGTGTGGGGAACAGTAAACCAATGTCGACATTTCAGCAATGCCGGCCCCTGTGTACGGTATGGTTCAGCAAGTGCCATCCTGTCGACAAAGGGCCGATCTAAAACTCTGCAGAGCAACGCCTTCTTGAAAAAATATAGTAGGTAGTTCTTCATAATTTTTTCTTACCCCGCGAATATACTTAATCCCTATTAAATTGGCATATGTTCCCACATGATGTAGAGCCATTTTATATCGATTGATATGAGTGTGGTTGCTTCTACTCTGTACAGACATCTTTTAATTACTGCGCAAATTTGTTAGCCTCTTTAATTTACCTCGTTTGATTGAATCAAATCGCGAAAACCATAGCCCAGCGAACGCGAGCAAATATAGGGGTCATAAAAAACAGTAATTAGTAAAAAAAGATGACATAGATTTACATCGGAGTCGATGGTATCAGTTAAAATGCTCAGCTGACATATCCATGTTAGATCCATATGACTCTTATATACAAAGGGCTAGATCACAGTTGGTAGCTAAGCCCCGTATTACAGGTGGCTGGAGGGTTTGTTTACTGGGCCTATTTTGTGGGGCTCCATAATCGCATCTGACCCATTTGGCTCCCGTTTTATGTTTGAGGTTAGGATTGGGGTACCGGTTAATGGCTTCCGATTTTGGAGTTAGGTTTATACCTTTAGGCTTAGGTTTTCAGGTTACGGTTAGGGTTTGAGCGTATGAATAGATTTTAGTATTACAGTTAGGTTTCTCTGTTACGACTATGTCTATGGGCTACGGTTGTGTTCACGATTTCGGTTAGGGTTGGGGTTGCCGTAGGGTTGACGGTTAACATTTAAGGTTGAGGGTATGGTTAGCGTTAGGATTAGGATTAGGATTAGGGTTAAGGTCGCCGTCTGCTTCACCATTCCTGGCTACCATTTGCGATCTAGCCATACAAAGTTATTGATAAATGTTTTGGGACATTACTCCTGGAAATTTTCAGGCCTGTTATCTTCTGAGCAATAAGGCAATTATGAGCTTTTTGGCGCTTGGTTTTATCTGCACGCCAACCGATTCTCACTCCCTCTAAAGTCTTTATTCATATAAGAGAATACAACCAGTTTTTACTCCGCCTGCTATAGACGAAGTATTCACATGTTTTATATCATCGAACCGATACTGGAGGACGATTGTAGACGTTACATTAAAGCCGAATTACTGTTAGTTGAGATGAGCAAAGTCCTTTCAGCTTTCGACTGTATAATACATCATAAGGGAGCTACAATCAATAAGCACGCATTTGGAAGGAAATCGAATGACCCTCTCCCTTCGTGCATAATGTAAACATCCAGGAAACTTATCCGTTTGGGGTCTAATTTTGTTTTACAGGAGAGTATTTCAGACTCTAAAATAGAGAATTCTATGCAATCTGCTACCACGCAAATTCGCACACAAGTGAAATTCCAAGCAGCTTGCAAAATCCATTCAGGCCTGCGCGGAACAGAAGTAAATTGCACGGAATGATAGGCTTATGTCCGTTTTACCTTCTAATTGTAGGTGTGATTATAAGTACATTTGAATGCCTCCGGCATAACTGACGTTTGACAAATTAAACTGCAAAATAGAAGTGAGGGCGTAATTCGTACACAATTTTTAAACAGAAACCTCACGCGGAACTGCTGTAATTTTCGGGCTGACCCATGACATCTAAAGTGGTCTTATTACATGGTACCGCATTTGATGTTTCTTCCCGCACAGATTTTCACCAATGTAAAATCACTTTACACAAACCCTAGACATGGAGGAGCAAAGATAAATAGGCACAGAGGTATCGGGTAACTTTTCAATAATTTATATTGGTCATTTAAAATTATATCTCCCTGGTTTCCATCAGTAGCTGCGGTAAGTCACGAAGGCACTCTTGTAGAGAGGGCCTTTAAAAAAACCTGGTCCGTGAAGCGAAATATTCAGGGGCAATGAAAATGGCCGAGAACAGAAGGCAAGAATATGCGAGGACCAAAATTATTATCCTTATGACAAATAGGAAGCTCAAAGGTTCATCATCCATATTTCCGTCAAATAAACTGAAACTGAAAAAACATGTTTTTTCCGTTGTTTGTTTACCGATCATCCTTGCTTGGCTATCAGGTGCAGTTTATCGAGTGAAAACCTCCTTAGTACTATTAAAAAAGTGGCATGCTATTTTGTCTATGGAACGCAAAAAAGGCCAATAAATGCACAAAATCTGTTTAAGTATTTAGTTAGTGGAATTTTAACAGACGTTTGGCATTTTCGAGTCGATTTTTTAAGTAATTTCTCGTAGTTGTAAACTTTAAGTAGAATTCCCATTGTCTTCTGGCCACAGTCTTCAGTAATCTGAAAGAGATTTGTTGTGGAGTCCAATTTCTTATTTTAAAATGTTCTCAAAATAGTTATCATTGAATCAATCTCAACGCCTAATGCCCCACGGTTCTATAATAAATGCAGCATTTAAAACCTATGGATACTGGCCACAATAACGTTTTTTTGCATTAGGTAATTTAAATCTCTGCTAGCCTGTAGTGTCGTGTAGACCAATAAACTGAATTCTCTGAGTGCGTTTCAATTGGAGTGATTGGTGCAAAATGTACTGTCTTCATCAAAACCTTATTATTTGTGTCAATATGGCCAGTTATTTTCGATTCAGGATCACCACGTCTCATAAACAAATGAGAATGTCTCTGATGATGGATTCGAGTGAGAAACCGAAACGTCAGGCCAATAAATTTCTTTTTCCAGTGATCGAATCTTCGTCTTCTAAATACTGAAATATGATTGCTCCGCCCGCAAATGTGGTCTGTTCTTATGCAAGGAAAAAGTATTAAACGTTTGATTACATCTGAAACAGAAAACCATACATTTTGCTGGCCTTCTATTCTGCTTCCCGTTCGGTGTACATTATTTTCAAATTTCTGGCAAAAATCTAAATTCTCCGTCATGTTAACCAGGTTGAAATGAGATCTCCCCTGCCCTTTGATCTTTGCATCAGGCTACTCGAACCTTTCAAAGCGATGCCGCAGAAGTGCAACTGGTTGTCCGATGAAGACGCCTACCCAGTGCCTGTAAGTGTCACTATGTACACCAAAATTTAATGGTCATCCCTTCAAAAAAATTTAAACTTAACTACGTTTTTTCACCACCGACTAACCTGGAATCGTTTAGGTCAGCATGGGGCTTGTCGGAATTAATTTTAAAGCACTGAGCCGAAATGTTTTCGCGCTTTCGCCGTCTCCATCAGCAGTCATGCTTTAATGACAATACCAATCGGTTAATATAGGAAAACGCGTTCGCACTAAAACGAAATGCGCGTTTAAGATAATCTACGATAAGGCCTGAAGCTTGAGTGACCTTTATGTTAAACGTTCACGGTTCCTAGGTTCATCGGCTAGCTGACAATAAAGTCCGCTACCTCAGAAAGACTAGTCCACAGGTTAAAATGTAGAGGACTTTATCCATTTCTGTCTCCGAAATGGGCCACGATATTCAAACGTGCTTGGCATCACAATGGGTATTTTTGCGGTTTGGATCACTCAATAGCGTTTCTTTCTGCTACAGAGAATATCACCATTTTAGCTTTAAACGGATTCGAGTGAAACACAGGATGGAGGGTTATTTGGTGGCAGTAGGCATGGTAGCAAGGTTTTACAAAGATTTGCGTTAAAACAAGAGGAGAGAGGTAAGTTTTTGAAAGGTTAAGTAACCAACTGTTTTTGTCAACTTAGAAAGTAACTGTTTTTCACTAGTGATGTTGGAAAAGTCCTTTGTGCTGCAAGCTTTTAGGCAGCATCCGTCAAAAGACCGAGAGGGCGAAAGATAAAAACATATCAGTTCAAGATAGACTACTTCGGAACGCCATTTGAACTTTTGTTCATTTTGTGGTGAAAGCTAATATTGATATTTCTATAAACATAGAAAAGCTTGAACGCTTTTTAATAGCCAGAACTATTTTCTTACTCCTGTGAGCTTTCGAACTCATACAGAAGTCCGTCGTCGGAGAAAAAGCGGCGCGCAGAACGTGCAACATTTGTAAAGAGTATGAGCCAATCAATCAACAGTGACGCAATCCCGAAGATGATTGCACGGAGTTCCGTATACCGGCACCAGGGCGATGTATTGATTGATTGAGTTCTCAGCGAGGTCCAGGCCTCAATCGAATATCGCTTGTTGTCGTTTCGCGTTACGTACATGTGATCCCCTATACGTAATAATTCGTCACTCGATTGCATAGATAGCGTATGTACGTGTATGCGCAACCCAACCATGTGTCAAGACTGACCTGTATAGTTACAAGGGCAGTTTGGGCACGAATGTGATATAAGACACTCGAACGCTCGCTGGGATTTAATCGGTCCCTGATTTCATTGATCTTGCTGCGTATGGGAGTTTTGGGTCACAAGTTGAACTTTACAGTCACTAAGGTGATTGTCCTCTCAGGAGTCAAAAGGCAACAATTGATTATAGCCTGCGAATCATATGAGGACTCAATCAATCCATGTATTGAACTGGCACCGGTTTACAGAACTCTTTGCAGTCAACTGCTCATAACTTTTGCTTGTTCTGCTTCCGCGTTTTCCTGACGATGGACTCCTGTACGAGTTCAAAAGCTCAGAGGAGTAAAAATGGTTCCGGAGATTGGGTAGTTCTCTTCCTCTTCCTTTTCCGTTCTAATCAAGTCGTCAAAGGTTTGACTTTAACCCCACTTTTTGTGGAATTAAATATTCAAAAGACTCTTAACCTAATCATGATCCATTCGAGTCCCTTAAAAACATTTCTTTTTTGTGTTACGCCAGTAATTCAGTAATTGATCACTTACAAGACAGGTGGAAATTCAGACATGAGGGGAAATCGGGTTTATGAATATTTTTGTTCAACAACTATGTTTATCTCATTAAAACATCAATAGCCCAATTACCAGCTAAAGCGTGTTGTCCTTACTTACATACAACAGAAATACTTTATGTACGCGTTGGCCCAGAAACATGGTTTTAAAATTATCAGAAGCTACAACAGTTGGGCATTTTTTGTATTTCTTAATGTACGCCTAATTTTATAACACAGGTGTGACCATAACCAGCAACAAATACGAAAACCATCCTGTTTTACATCAATGAAGTTACGATTCTTAACGACTCCAGAAGCACAACGTACGACTCAAGAAAGTGTTATAATGCATGCTACAAAAAAAACTATGCGGCGTGTTGCATAAATTAGAAATACAAATCTTATTGCTACAACAAGCATGAAATCGAGGAATAAATGGCAATCCTACCCATGATTCGTATGAAAAGTTGATCATACGATATTTCCGCCGAACCAGTTTCGAAGTGTGAAGACGAAGAAAGTGTCCTAGTTGACGAATTGACGGGGGGTGCAGTTGTAGGGCCGTCAATGGCTTGGGAGCTGTTACATTCCGTGGTTTCTGCCGTAGATCGCACCTGCTGTCCTCGATTCACACAGAACCACATGCCGCCCTCGCGTTCAGAGACCCACGTTAGTATGAGTCTTGACTCCAGGAGATACGAATCAATCCATCGTCGGGTTATTAAGGCGCGACCAATATGGTGGCGTCCATTGCGTATGCGGATGCCATTGTGGTACCACTCAAGCACATTGCCGGGGTCCATTTTGGCTTCAGGAGAGGTAAAGTTGGCGATGCATTTTAGCTCCAAAGGCAGCCCGTAGAAAGCCAATTTCGGCCCAATTATCCGCACTAAATAGGGAAAAGAAGGTCTAACTCTAGGTAGGGCTGTAATACCAATGATTGTATAGAAGTCTCAAAATATTTCAGTCATACTGTGGTGCGGACATTTGACCGAGCTTCGTTCCGGCTATCTGTGGGCTAATTACTCGGTAAAAAAGGGCTTCTTGCATAACATGCGTTCCTCCCATTGACTTTCCATTCCGCAATAAATTTAACTATATTTTGTAGAAAACATGCCAAAAATAATTTGTTTACTAATTTGCTAGTACGTTACCTTCTCTATTATTTTTTCCGATGAAATGCGTAATTTTTTGAAAAACACTTTTGAATTCCCAAATACATTTGCACCCGAATGCCATCACGCCTATATTTAGTGTTTCAGTACAACAAGATATTAATTTTCCGTGCAAGAAAATCAATGCACTTATGTTCGCCTTTAAAAAGGTACCATTGAAGTTAATAATATTCTGTTATGAATAACAACCGAATTAGTACTTTACAACCAACATTACATAATGCAAAAATAAAATATTTTGTATATCAACATTTCGCGGCCTTATAGATCTGATAATTAGAAATTCTTTAAAACAAAAACAAACCATTTTCAAGAACGAATTTTACAGAGGAAGGATTATTTTGGTGCACGTTTTCAATGAAATATAGTTGACCTTTTAGGGGCCTTGAAAAATGATAAGCAAAATTTTAGACATATAGCGATTTTTTTACAGAGTACAATTTTTATGGACAGCCAAAAATGCTGTTTTGGAAGCTAACATTCTGTCCTGTCCGAAATCCTTTTGGATTATGCTACAAAGTTATGGACATCACACCCCCACTTAAGCAATTTTTCCAACCAAAAACGAATTTTAGAATTTTGGTTAACATTTTTTGTCATAGCCAATCCACTGTGCGTAATATAAGAAAAAATATGACAATTTTGTCTTATTTATTTAATGCTACCGCACTCTGTATTTGATCGGTAAAAGAACATATTGTTTAGCAGATTTAAACTCATGTAAGTCAAAAATAATGTCTCAGTTCGCTTAGCAGAGATCTCAGTCCACTTCAATAATTACAGGGCATTTCAGAACTACCACCCGCAGCTTGTGAGGCTGCCGGACTTTAACCGAAATGGTAACCAACTTCAGTTGGCTTATTTAAAAACAACATCTCTCATTTGCTAACACTTGTTCATTTATTTCAGTGTCATGTGTTCTCTGTTTAAGACATGCACTTTGCAGTAGGCGCGTAATAATGTGTTAAAACAATCTAACAAGGAAATACTTAAAATATCATCTCAGACAATGCCTGCCTGTTGATATCTGTGTTGTCCCGATATTGACAAACTGGCATGCAGGAATAACCAAAGACTCAATAGAACTATTGAAGTATTCAATGGAAGTATTGAAAATAAAAGTATATGACAGGCACTCCACTCCAAGGACCTAAAAGCGTACAGAATGGATGTAAGCCGGACGCTCGCTGAAAACTCGGAAATGTATCACCCCACAGCTAACAGCAATAAAACTCTGACTGCATGTAGAGACCCAACGCCTGCTTCCCTTGAATACATGGCGACAACTTTCCCCGAAAAGGAGGCAAATGAATCCTGCAAAGTTATCTTTACGGGATTTAGGTCGACTTGATTTAAAAGTGAAGGATGGCTAAAGGTGTGCCTTTTAACGAAAACATATGTGACTGTTTTAAATTCAAAATCTCCCATAGCACGCATCCGATAGATCTACATTTTTATTTTTAGATAACATACTACACAGTATTCTGAGGATCTAGATTAATTTTTGATTAAGAGGTGGATCACAACATAAAAACGATTCTAGACAGAAAATAGTTCTTCTCTTGAAAGATACGTGCAGGAGACATAGTAGGCAGGTGAATAAGGCGAAACAAAACAAAGTCTGTCCTTTAAAATCGTCGAACGTTATAGTACGTCGCAGACTCAACGTTTTGATAGTCAGATATCTGACATATACAGGTGAAGAGAAGTTTCCTGTAGAGATTTGAATGCTATGAGGGTAATTGAGTCCGTGACGTCCGTCAACCACTGAGCGCAAAATAAATTTTCGGCCAGATCGCAGTTGGTAGCCAGGCCCCGTATTACAGGTGGCTGCAGGGTTTGTTAACCGGGGCTTTTTTGTGGGGTTCCATAATCACATCTGACCCATTTGGCTTTTGTTGTACGTTTGAGGTTAGAATTAGGGTACCGGTTAATGGTTTCCGATTTTCGGGTTAGGATTATGCCTTTAGGCTTAGGTTTTAGGGTTACGGTTAGGGTTTAAGCGTTCGAATTGGTTTCAGTATTACGGTTAGGTTTCTCAGTTGCGGCTCTGTCTAAGGGCTACGGTTACGTTTACGATTTCCGTTAGGTTTAGGGTTACCGTTAAGGTTAACGGTTAACATTTAGGGTTGATGGTATGGTTAGGGTTAGGATTAGGGTTAAGGTCGCCGTCTGCTTTCCCATTCCTGGCTTCTTAATACTTTAATAGCAGACATCTGACTACCTGAAGGTTCACGAATGGAATTATTTAACTGAGACGGAAAAAGAAACAGCAACTCAGTTTTTTGGTAAAATATGCATTGTCGCATAATTTGACCTTAAACTCGCAACCGAATGCACAAACGAAAAATCGTTAACAAGTTGAATTTTCGACTTCAAATTTCTAGCTACATAAAATGAATTAGAATAAGTAACATGAAAACATCCTCATTAAGCCCGGCTGTGATTGGCGTCCTCTAAGCTTATTTATTTAATACGATTTGGATTTACCCTACGCCGGCTTACGCACTCAATGAACCCCATAAGCAATCTGACTGGGAAAATAAAATAAATATAAGGTAGGCTTTGTCTGCTAAAGTCCCGAATTTTAAAACTAATGCTGTAGATAATTCGGAGTTTTAATTTTTTATGATTAAGTTATTGCACAAGCAGAAAAAATTTGTTGTAATGTCATAATTATGATTGCTCGTTTTTTGTTCTTACGTTGACACCGCAACGATTAGAGTGCTTTAGTCGGCTGATTAATGTGACTAGTCGTAATCCTTATATGAAACAAGGAAATGATTTTGTGGTGATTATTAATTTTTTGACGGTACAGCTCTCTGATGACACGCCGACACATACCACTATATTCAGGCGGCTTCGGAGTTTGATTCGAAACAATCAGCAAGATAAGACTCCTGCTTGCTCACCCGGTAAACCACTTCATTTATGAAAAGTGCTCAAGAATATGACTGTCTCATAAACTACCCTCTATAATCAGGCCGGGGTTAAACGTAAGAGAAAACCTTCGAAATTCCAAAGCTTTTAGGGTAATACCAACCGCGGCGCGAGTAGAACACTTGTTTGAAAACTTCATCGCTGATGCCGCTTATTATTATTAATCGCTTGCAGCTGGAACGTCCAAGTTAGTTGTATTAAACAATTACATATAAAAGCTGTTCCGCATTTTTTAAATGCTTATAAATTATGCATTTATATTTCATGCCTGACTCACCATTATATGTAATATATTGTGTGTATGCCATGTTTCATATATTGTATGTTTCATTGCATTTCGCAAAATTAATACACACTTTACATATGCACTATATAATACAAACCTTGTCGTCAATTTTTCCATGTTTTATTTTATTTACTTTTCGATGCAGTCGTACGACAATGCACTCGCATGCCTTGCGGGTTAGATTATCAAATGTTTCTTGTTTCATTGGACCGAATTACCTAGCCCTCTAAGACTACTACATGGATCAGAGCAAAACTTGCAATTTTCAGTTAATTGGAGACGGGTTCTCTGAGCCAAAGTGTAATTGACGTCTTAGGACACTGACTGATTCAGTCAGTCATAAAATTCAAAAGAATTGTTTGGTGTAAAAAATAAAAGTCAGTTAGAAAAGAGCTCGTGAGGGTAAACTTACGACTGTTCCCTAAGGCCCAATAGGAATTCAACAACGATGCTGAAATTCAAGTCGCCTCAGATGACTAGGGATATATGTATAATTGTGATATGCATAAGATCAATTCGGGGTGATCAAAAACTGCCTTACCAACCAAGTAGAGTTCCACAGGATTCCCAGTTTCTGGGGTACGATATTTTGGTATTTTTTACCCCTGATATTGGCAAATTATGGAAGATCCTCTAATTTGATACACGCAAGGTCAAAAAACCTTTAAAATTTAGCCCTATGTCATAACAAATAACATGACCAGGAATAGCTAGCTGTAAATACCGATGTTTGCACGTACAGTGACGCAAACGATAAGTTAACTCACGTCATATTTGCAAGAATGTACAAGTCCCATGCCCATTGTCTCACTCAAAGTATGGAGTCAAGTCTGTATACAGTGTGAAATCGATGGTCTTACCAAAACTCTGCAAAATCGCCAGTTATCACAGCACTCAAGTTTCTAAACGCAAAATGGTGCTTAGAATGGACATCCTAAGGTGCCAAATAAGTAGGTTGAGTTTCATTTCAGTGCAAATATGCATGTCCAATCATCCAGACAGTCATTATACCTCTCAGCGACCGAAACTGTGTCTGACGGTATTTTCGATTGAAGGGATCGGTTGCTCATTAAGCACGACGCGACATTCTTCAAACAGACCATTAATGTCTACCCTATGCGAAATCCTGTTCGGCGATTGAAACCCTAACTGCCGCTGCCAACTTTGCAGAGCAAAGCAGAGCGCGTTCATTTTCCTACCACGTATGCTCTCAATGACTGATCTTATCTTCAGGGCTTCGGAACTTCATACACTTGGAAAATCAAGCTTTATGATGGTACGCAGACGAAACTGCTATCTTAAGGTATATTCTTTTGACTCATGTCCTAAGCCTTTCCAGTGGCCGTACCAAGATGCATAAAGAAGGCGGTCCCCAGAACTTAATCATATCAGTAAAAGTCTCTGTCAGTTACAGACTGGCAAAGGGGTTATTCTGAGGTTTCAGTCCTGGTTCCTGATTCGGCAACGAAGTCTGTTCACCAAAACGATTCTTAGAGGAGAGAAACGGTTAATATAGGTATAATTAAATTATCGACAGAGACAAGAGAGGTTGGAATGGCCATTTCTGGTTAATTAGTCGTCGTCAGTCAGACGTAAATAATCCCGAGATGAGGTGTATCTTGGGCTCGATTCCTTTTACGAACCCTTTTACTTAAACAGTTATGTTTGTCACCAAGTGAGGTCATATTATTTCTTGATGTCTTATCCTTCTTGATTTCATTCCTCCGGGGATCTGGCGGTCGTGACCACCGACTTGCCTTTGAATTTTCGAATTTGATGAAACGGACATAACATAAGCCTCAACAGTAGTACATGTTCAATGAAATAATCTTCGGGCTGCCAGAGGGCACACCAATGCGTTATGGGACAGTCAGATTCACTGGAATTCCAACATCCAAGAATAAAGTTGTGGACCCGGTATGGGGATGACAACGTAGGCATCATCGATGCGATTGGATGTTGAAATTTAGAAAACATCTCAACACCGTTATTCCAACCATTCCCCTGGGAATGTGAAGGGAAGAAAACGAGCAGATGGGCTTTCTCACCGTCCTCGTTTGTTGCAACATTGGTGAAAGTCGAAGAAAGTAAGTCTTCAGAAGGTCGAGAACGGAAATGCGACACAGCAGTTTGAGGCTTCTAAAATATTCCTGGCACACCAAGGCACCCGTTATCATTCAATACCGGTGTGATTCTGCCCTCCACCCACTTGTACGAAATAGCACAGATAGCTGTTCGCTCTTACCATCCCTCTAGGTCATTTTAATCTATTATGCAGAAAGGACGTAGTATGCAACCCCATTCAGGTGATGAAACCAGGTCATCATGTAATACGGGTTTTATCGATGAGGCTAAATTATTGAAAGGAGAGCGCGATGACAGGAAGACATTCAGCTAAATGCTGAGGGGCCAAATTAAGTTCGCGCGCGCCGAAGTTCTGCACAACTGCTTACGCTAGAACACTCATATCAGGAACCGGATCCAAGAAAAATGATGGACCTATCAAAGTATCCGACAGTTCAGGCAAAAACGGAGCATTTTCTGCAACTTCATCAGTTTGCCTTCAGTAGAAGAGGGAGATAACATTCCGACAATTTGCAAGAGCATGGAAGCGTTGGTTATAGGAAAGGCATGGAAGTAAGTTGCTTCGGTGACGTAAAATTTGTTCACTCATGGAAGTCGCATAATTCACCCTTGCCCATTATTCTCGTTCTCCACCTCAATAAGTAGCGTCTCCCTTCGCCCACAGAATGTCCTTGTCCAAACACAACTTTTTCCGAACGGACATATGAATTTGAATAGATGCCTTGATGCCTCATCCAGTTCTATGCTAGATTCATTCCTTATCTATGCCAATAACATGACGATCCATATTTCGGTTTCAAATCCTGCGCCGTTTACTGCAAAACCAAGCAGACATGTTGTTTGCGTTTATAAGAAAGCATGTAAAGACCAAAAGACACTCGCTGATGTTGAGTTCAAAAACGCAACAAAGTTTACTATTTTCCTTAAGATTAATCACACAAATATAACCACTTCGGTCTTTGTGACTCCGTCGGTTACTATTTTTCAGAGACGGACTTTCATTTAAAACAGCCAGACTATTTTCGTAAGCGCAAGTTAACTACGTCTTTCTGCGGTAATCACCCCTGAAGACGTAATACGCTGTGTACGACATATACTAACGTACCTTTTGTCATAGGAGCACGCATTAGTTGATGCACATTGTACGAAACCTAATATTTTGGATAATGTTTAGAAGGGGTAAATGGATGCAAATGACATTTGAGAAAGTTACTTTATAAGTGCGCAAACAAAGCTGGTGATATCGAAGTGCTCTCAGCCGTTATCGACTATGAATCTATTTGTACTACATGAGGGTATTCTGCGCAATGTGCGGATAAAAATGCGACATCATACCCCAAAATCAGTTGTGAGTTTTAAAACAAAATAAAGTGCACTTTGGAATGTAAATTTGCCGATCTTTCAACAGCACGAGAAAGGACTAGGAAAGCATTCTGGCGGTATGCGATCTAACTCGTAAACGGAGATTTAAACTTGTAAAGTGACAAAAATAATTAAGACTGTGCGTATTGTTTAAATTTCTAAATTCGCAAACATAGTATTTGCTCAAAATTATCAAAATAAGGCGTTATCCTAGTTGTTTTACAATACATAAAGCCAATATTTTTGGCGCATATCAAAAATAACATTTGCTGACTAGCCACCAATAACTAAATCCAAAGTTCTTGAAAATATGTTAAGCGGCCAGCGCTGCTTCTTGCAGTATGCCATTCAGTTTAGAAGGATACTTCAGATGGACTTTCAGCAAATAGCTCAGTTGACTTTTCACATAAGGTACAACGCATTATTCCTTTTCGGACGACATGTCATATCCACCTGCAACCTCGTATTTGTGATCCATCACGTGAACTCTTGATTTTGCGATTCTTATTTTTGTTTAATTTAGGGAAGCCAATCTTTACCAAGATACCAAAATACTTAAACATGATCCTTCCAGAGTAGACAACACGCAGTAATTTTTGAGTCCTGAGGGGTGAGGCGCATTTCCTACCAAGTCCTTCTGACAAAAGTACAATTCACCCCCAAATACCTGTTTGTCTGCTAATACTGCACAGCCATAATATCAGAACTCAGCAGCCAACGACTTAAAAGGATAAACTAGGGACAAGTATTTCATTGACAAGGAATTGTTGTTTTCAGTGCATTTCGGGCTGCACGCTGCGACTTAACTGCCTTGAGCGCGCAAATCAAACGACACAAACACAAACTAAACTTTTTAAATGAAACCTCACTAACATAACATGCGAATGAATTTGAAAATACACAGAGTACTGGAAAAAAAATCAGCAACCGCGTTTCTGTACATAGAAAAACGCCAAAGAAATTTTGTAAAATGCATGTTTCTGATCGCGATTATTCACTTCGCATGAACTCTCGTCATCTAGGTAGCTTTACTTTTCTGAGGCCACCAGCAACATTGCTCTTCTGTTTCTTCTATGGATAATATCACCTAAAAATTTAGGTTGCCATGCCAAGAGCTCTCGTTAAATCTCAAAAGCCTACTGCTGACACAAAAAGTTATACATTTATCTGGCAAACATTGTAGTCTTATGGATGTCCAGCGTGACCTTCTAGGAATGGCTCGCGCTTGCGTTGTCCAGGCTTGCGTTTTGCAGGCGTTTATGGGCTAATCCTTTCCCATTCCACCCTTTAGCCTTGAGATGTATCCAGAGCTTTTCATTTTGATTTGCTTACTCAGATTGCTGTCCTCTACCGTTATCGGGACAATTTATAATTTACAAACCCTCCATTGAATCGTGGAATATTTTCTGCTTTGAGAAATGTCATGTTTTTCCATCCGTCTGCTATTGTAGTTTTCTTTACATTTTGTACAAAGAACAAACGCATATATGGACAGAAAACGAGGAAAGAGACCAATTAACAGAATTGTCAAGGTAGTGTTTTGATTATAAAAAAATCACTGGTAGATTTATTCACTGCTGTGTATATCCAAGAAAATAGGTTCCAGTAAAAAGTAAAAATTGGATCCGACTCTCTGCTAAAATATGGCTGGGATGTTTGATTAAAATGCACATCTGCTTATCTTCTGTTTACGACAATCAACGAATGCATTGCATAAAACCATCATAACAGCCGGCATTACCGGAATCATTCAAAACACTAGTGTACACATTTTGGAAACTCCTTTCGTTGAAATTTGTTTATTTGTTAAAGGGTTATTTGAACATCTGCAGCTTACAAATGCGAGCATTTATTAGATTGTTAGAAACCGCAAGATGATATCAGTTAGATTACCTGTTGATCCTTTTAAGAGTCTTTCTTTTTGTGGTTCATCGACCTGAACGCCTTTGGGATTTTTTGACCCTACAAGCAAAAGAGAAAGCAGTTGGCAAATTATATTTGGGTCAAACAACTATTAAACTAGATCGTGAAAATTACTCCAAACCTTCCACAAACCGCAAAACTTTATGGGCGCACTTTGCTCAGCAATGATAATGAAAATGAAATTTTTTGATCTAAACTTTACTTACAATCCAAGCTCTCGAGTAAAAACCATTTTGTCAGCATTGCTCACTATTTGGGCTTGCCGTTGACGTCATGTTCTGAGATTTTACTACTGGTTTGACTGAGGTTGGTTACGGTAAAGTTCCCAGAGGCACTTGCCAGTGATTTCTAAAAATCTGCCAACTAAACAGGCTCGCTAAGGCTGTCAACTCTAGAACGCCGGTCAAAGGTTCTCCTAATTGCTTTAAAAAATTCTTTGTTTCCTGTATATGAATTAAGACCTCAAGTGCATCTGCGATTTATTGAAAATAGTGTGCTATTTTTTTTCTACTGGACAGTTGCGCTTTATTTGAAAGTTGTTTTTTATCTACTCCGTGCACGCCATACAATCGGCAGGAGGAATGTGTTAATGGACAATCCGATTACCGACAAAGACTCGAAAGACAATTTCAGTTGGCTTGCAGTCCTTGCACGATTGCGTCTTTCTGCTGGAAACTGCACTTCGACAACGATATTCACCCTCATCTGCGGCGGTAGCATTCGCAATAATTAAAATGTTTCCCCTCGCATGTGCCGGGGATCGGAGTTGCAGCCTGGTGTCCGGGGAAAATAAATGTCGCCCAACGGCGAGGGGATACAGCAGATGCGTCCTCTCCCAGATTATCTGTTTTAAATTAAAGCACCAAGTGCGACAACGAATGTTTCGGATACTTAAACTAGTATTCAAAAGGTCAAACATGGCAAAAATATTTTTAAACAAAAGTAAAAGTCCTACTTTTAAGGATGAAACATTTCATAACCATGTAAAACTGGTGTTTGATACGGATTGGACAACCTAGTAAAGCCAGGTTTTTAAGAACATAAGTGTTATTCTGGTTTTCTTTACCTTAATGAAAACAGCTGCTTGGCTGGATGATATGGTGACCTGTATTTACAGTTGTCGCACGGTGTCTGATGATGGTTTTGATACAAGAAATACTGCTTTCCCAGGTTGATACTTATGCACAAAGCTTCTACGGTCGAATACGTGCCAAAAGAGATCTGATATTTGGTGGGTTTCAGACAGGAAATAATCGCAAGTTGGCTCTACGATCTCACGTTAAGACACTAAAGCGGAGACCTCCTGCAACACGGGTGGCTTTGAGTTAACTTCCAGTGAAGTTATGAGTAGATTTAAGCTTGGAGTCAGGGTTTGGGCTAAGCGACAGTTAACGGCAAGGTGAGTCAGGACCACGTTTAGGTTTTGGCTTAGAGTTAACCGCTGAGATACGATTTAGGTAGGGCTGGGATCAAGTCCAGGGAAACAGTTTAGAATTGTTGATTGTAAGGACTAGGACACGGCAATATTTCGCCCTTTCCCGAATTACGCGTAAGTCCACCTTTATTACTTGAACGGGCCGTTACCATTTCCATGTCTAGCTTAGGCAGCCATATAAGTCATTCACACAGATTTAAAGTCAAACCCAAAGGAGGAGGAGGAGGAGGAGGAGGGAACAGAATCTATTTGCACACTATCTTAGACTAGTTTACTTAATTAGAAATTCTACCTGACCCACTGCAACAAATTTTTAAACTGTTAATTCAAATTTAACTCACGTGGTCGGGTGAGATTAGGAGGTTGCATTGCATCTCTATATTATCATCGTAGTCTACGGAAATGTTGATGGTCTTCGCGAAACCCTCACTGAAGTTTGTCATTCGCATTCCTAAAATGCCGTAAAAGTAGGTTGCCTCGGGAATCAAATGTTTATCTTGGAGATGAAAAAATTCCTCCCATGTATGAACTGCACAAATTGCTGCTTCAAGGACGTCACTGTTGTAGACATATGCTTAAGCGGTCGTTGATGATATATAATCTTTCGTATATTAAAGCAAAACACATTTTGTTTATTTCTACTTCCATTTTAGGGGGCTTAAGTATATTTGCATTCCAGTTGTGAATGACTTCCATAACAATGTATATTTTTGACCAATCATAATAAACAGCCAACAAAATTTAATACAAGAATGTTTGCCGATAAAAGCAAAGATAAGAGTTCCAAGAACCAGTTGATAAGAAGTAGAAGTGATCGCTGAAACAAGGGTTTTATTCGCCTGACGTTTCGGATCCTCACCTGAACACATCATCAGAGGGAGTGACGGAGACGTTTCTGATTATGGGTTAAAGTGAGAATCCGAGACGTCAAGCAAATAAAGCCCCTGTTCCAACGATCGTATTTGCCTCTTATAAAAGCGTTTGTCACTTATTACAGTGAGTGACCAATTTCCTGAAATGTTGGCTGAAATTCTGAAACGCGTTTTCGATTAGGAAGGATTACTTGGTCACGGTTGTAAGAGTAAGTATCATGCGGCATAATCATAGAACATTTCAGACTTGGCAGGATGTCAGCTTTTGAATACACTGCTTTTCAATCTCAAGTAGAAACCGTAATCGGCAAAAAATGACTACTTATATAGCATGCATTTTTCCCATTGATTTTCGATGGTCTTGCAAATTCAAATATATCATATAGAAACCATAAACAAAAATTTGCTTTCTTTCAGTCAATGAATAGAGAATCACGTTTTCTTTATATTTTATACTCGAAGAAGGAATAAAAGTAGGTTTTTAAAAAGTTTTCTTATTCGCGAATAATTTAAAGCCTAGTCATTCGTTGAATTAGTGCTCAGTGATTTCAGTCTACAAGGTGCATGTGCTCCGCGTAAAGGAAATCGCTTATTGTTCTATGCCGTTAGAACGATATCATATAGAGTCCATAAAATTTTGCAATGAATAAGAATTATGTTGTACATTTCGTTAGGAGCTGTAGTAAACGGCGAGGTACGATGCTATGTGAATGGACATTGCAAGATCTTAAAAATCTCATAGTTAGATACTATTGAAAACCTAATTTTACCCCTTCTTTAAATATAAAATATAAAGAAGACGTGATTCTTTATTAATTGACTGAAAGCAAGCAAATTTTTGTTTATGGTTTCTATATGGTATATTTGAATTCGCAAGACCATCGGAATTCCATGGGAAAAATGCATGTTACATAAGTGGTCATTTTTTACCGAGTATGGTTTCTACATGAGATCGAAAAGCAGTGTATTCAAAAGTAGACATCCTACCAAGCCCGAAATGTTATATGAGTATGCCGCAAGATAATTACTGTTAGAACCGCAATTAAGTAACCCTTCCTAAATGAAAACGCGTTTCAGAATTTCAGCCAACATTTCATTAGATCGGTCCCTCACTGTAATTTCTCGATCACTTTTAGTGCTAGGATCAGTAATAATATAGGCATACAAGGAAAAATCCAGCACAAATATGAAGCATTCAATGACATTTCGAATTTGTCTGAGTGCGTTTTTAAGTTGACTTCTGTTAGGAAAATGACAACACTATAGGTCCTCGCAAAAATGCTTATAGTAGGCCGGCAGATAGGCATTCCTTCACAAGCACCGATTTCTATATCCCATTCGTGCGAAATGTACATCTTTCAAGCTACGTTGATTGTTAATTTTGATTCCCCTTGAGTTGTTTACATGATTTTTACATGGGATTTCGATCCAGTTTGGTCTCATAAAGAGCCAAGGTCAAAAGATGTATCTTTTTTGCGTAAGCTCGGAACAACTACGCTTCATAACTTTAACCAATAATTTATCCGGAGTCTCCAGTCAAGTTAGCCATGCGTTGCAACTTTGCAATTAATAGGCGATAAATTCAGTCATTTTGATGACTCATGTGCTCTGCAGAACCCCTCTGAGGGGATGGGCACACCTAAGAGTTTGTGGATATTTATGTGCTTTTTTCGCCTAAGGAGGTGTTGAAAGTTAACACCTTTTATTTGTCTAAGCTAATTAGAAGTCAAAACACCTCCGACGGTCACGTCGGTCTTACATGAAAAAAAAAACAGTGGGCAAATATGAAAACTAATCAGTAGTAAAATATTTTACAAATGAAATTATGGCTACCGTAGGATTGCTTTTTCGGATATTTTGAGGGTCTAACTGAAGCCGGATCCGCCGAGCGTTCCCCTTCGTGATAATTTTCTTCTGTCGTTTGATAAACGTGGAATGCGCCTATGAGTGCAATAAATCTGGACTCTACCAGAATCCAGTAGATGCATGCTTTGATGATGATTGAATTATATCTCAAAATATCCATTAACTGAGAACGTTCGGCGCAAACATGGCGAATTTGCTAAGAATTGTGCGAAGGTACATCAGTGAAGCGGCAAACAGGCTAGAAAATATAAACGTTTTGACCAATGAGATCGAAAGATCGGGAACCAGTAAAAAAGCAGAACTTTCTCCCTTGAAAACCGCCAAGAAATATTAACTTGTGCCATCATTATGCATTGAGGTATGAAAATTCAAGAAAAGACATCATGAACTAGGGCAAAATATTAGGCTACTATCCAAACTTCGTCTTCGATTTTTATAAATATGTTTGGTTGCTTAGTGATGTAAGCGTAAAGACTTCGAGTTTATGCAAATTTTGGGCTATATTTTGATGGAATAAAATAGCCAGGCTGTATTTGTGGCGTGTCTTTCTCTAAATCCGAAAAAAACGGCGGACAGAATTTATTTCGTTGAGGTCGGCTCTCCATCTTTTCGATTGTTTTTGCAAATTTGGAAACAACGGTCGGTTTTTTTTCAGAAGCTTAAGCGGCTAGCCCACATTCGAGTTGAAAGCGATTTCCTGAAGGCGAATGCTGTCTCAGGGGCTAAAGTTTGGGAATGACGAGATACATTCTCAGGAGGCTTAGACGTTACCTAGATTTTCTAACCCACAACTTGCCTGTGGATAAGTGTGGGGTTTGCGGACGCAGAGGCAAGAACAAACTACGCCACGGGGATCCAGATTTTTTGCGTCATAATGCCGTGATTGATATTTAGGCTGTTTCTACATCCGTTTTGTAAAATCTGTTTTATTTGCCGTTGTGGAGTAGGATACCAACTCGACTTTACTCCAGTTATTTTTTCTATGATCCTAATATGAGATAATGGATCAGTGAGTCCATGGTTATGCAGTTTGTCTGTTGTTGTCTTGCGAAACTGTAGTTTGGATAGCAGTCAACCAAAATAAATTGTTTACCTAAGTAGCGCCATACACATATGCCTGCAAACAAAGCAGAATACCTACAGTAGATGGGTTAACTCATGAAAAGTCAACGGAAAGTCTGGAATGTGTTCTCGGTTCCAGAAGATAAATTAAGTAGAATTGGAGAATTAATCATTATGCAGCATAATTCTACAATAATTCAGTTACCCCAGGATGCCGGTTTTCGAAAAATCTTCTTTCCGGCGGCATAAAAAATCTACACTCAATAAAAATGACCACTTAAATAGCATGCAGTTTTCTTATTGATTTTCGATGCCCTTAAAAATTCAACTATATCTCATGGAAAACATGCAAAACAATATTCATTCTTCTGCTCATTCGGTAGAAAATTACACCTTCTTCCAAATTAATCCTCGAAAGAATGGTATAATTCGGTTTTTGAAACCTTTTCCAATTTCTGAATAATTTTGAAGTCGACCTGCCGTCACGCTCGCAATTAGGGTTGCCAACTCCAAACCATATATTTTCCGCGTGCAGAAAACCATATATTTCTCTACGGTACTGACTATACACCATATGGGGTTCATAAAATTTGGCAGTGGATTTGAGTGATGGCGTTAACTTTACGAGCCGCATCGGTAAATGCCGAGCCATGACGTTTAATGAACGGCCATTTCATGGTATTAGACAATTTCACAATTAGAAGCTATTTTAAAACCGAATTATAGCCTTCTGTTGACTGTAAATTTGGAAGTAGACGTACTTTTCTACCGAATAAGTGAGAGAATGAATATTGGTATGTATGTTTTCCATGAATTATAGTTGAATATTTAAGGGCATCGAAAATCAATGACAAAACTGCGTGCTATTTAAGTAGTCATTTTTTACAGAGTGTAGCTTTTGCCTGCTGTCGAAAGGAAGTTCGTTTGAAAGCCGGCATCCTAGTTTAACTAAATAATTATATAAATATGCTGCTTGATGATTAGTTCTTCAACTCTATTTGATTATTCTTTTCGAAACGAAAACGCATTTTGGAATTTCGGTTGATATTTCATGAGTTAGCCCACCTACTCTACGTAGAGGATCTCGATTAAGCTTGGGGATGTGGAGAAGTTTCGCAAAAACTGGTGCAGCCTTCTAAAAACCCCACATCATAAAAGACGAAAAGTGAAACACGGAAATGTCTAAAACTGCGAATAGGTGCTGCAGCCATCAACACCCATCACCTTATCCGCATCGCCGTTCAGAGTATGCTGCGGAAGCGTGGTACATCATTGTTGGCAAGGGGCATCGCCATTAACAGCGCCGTCACAGAAGTAAGCTGGCTCGCCTAACCTTCCATCATTGTCATCATTTTCAACAGGAACACAGACTGTCGGTGTTACATCCGCAAGCTTCTTGCACTCATCGGTTTAATCAATAATTTACCAATCCATCGCACTCTGGCTGTGAGCCGGCACTACAATCCAAACTCATACCCGTTCCTTCCATCAACATTCATACACTTTCCCAGGACATTTAGCCATTGCATGATCCTATCCAGTCGTATGCGCGGCCACGAAAATTTCCACCGGAGCGGCAGATCCAGATCAGGCCACTTACTTCGTGCATACACACGCCCTGGACTGCAAATGAACCTGCTCGACATAGTGCGCATACGCGTCACCTGTTCACAACACATCAAACTTCACTCCTGGAGAATAAGGCAAGTCCACTTTGTCAACGGCTATGTGGTGGGCGAAACGACGCATGTCAAAATGCATGCCTCATCTAAACAAGCATCATGTCGTTGGACAAACCAGGTAGAATGTGCAGCATACCAAAGCTGGGCTGTCTAGTTCATTTAGCTCTTACGCTTAATCTCAAAAGCCGTTTTTGGCCGATCACACAGTCGACTGCTGAACGGGAGAGGTAAAATGTGTGTGTGGCCGTTACTAAGGATGTTTTCACGGCCAGCTGGTGCACTCCTCACTGCAGTAAGTTTGGCATGCTTAAAACTATCACGACACACTGGAAAAAGTGACTTCAAAAACTGTCATCCTAGAGGTCAAGCCACAAGGGCCCCACCTTATTGCAGTTCTCATTACTCTCTAAACCACATAAGCTCCGAGCCTAGTCGTACGTTACGCGCACAGGCGAGCTGTTTAGCCTCACCAGTTAGTGCGGAAATGCCACTTTTCGTTGTCTTGAATCCGTCTCGCCCTCCGAGCACGGAGTATGCGGAAGGAAATAGTGTGACGAATACAGAAATTCAGGGCCCGGTATGTGGATGATACCTTCGTCGTAATCGAACGGGATCAGGTGTTGACATTCCAAGAACATCTCAACGCCGTCTTCCCGCACATTCAATTTACGACGGAGGAGGAAGAGAACAACCAGCTGGCCTTCCTGGATGTCCTCGTATGCCGCAAAGATCTTGGTGAACTAAAAACCAAAGTGTTCAGGAAAGTGACAAATACGATGCAAGTACTGAACTTCAACAGTAACCACCCAATCAGCCACAAACGCTTTTGTGTAAGGACGCTCTATCGGCGTGTCGAAACGCACGGCAGTGCCGAACTACGATACCTCCGACGGGTATTCAAAGCCAATGGCTACCCGCGCAACTTCGTCGACCGGTGCATACGCAAAAGGGACGAAAGGCCTAACCACACGGACACCAAATCTTGGCGGGCACTTCCGTATGCTAAGAACGTTTCGGAAGCTGTCGGCAGCCTTCTCGCACCACTTGGGGTTGGAGTCGCAAACAGACCGGAGGCAACCATCAGGCGTCTGGTAGTGAAACTGAAAGACCCGCTGCCACGGCTAGAAACTTCTGGAGTCGTTTATCGGATCTGGTGCAGTTGCGGACAAAGCAACTACGTCGGAGAAACCAGAAGACAGCTCCGAACGAGAATGGCCGAACACGCTGCAGCGGTGCGCAGAAATAACGCCAGCTCTCAAGTTGCGGCTCATTCGACGAGATCCGGTCACACATTCAAATTCGATGAGGCGGAAATTCTCGCAAGAGGTGATAACCGCGTGAGCCGGGAGCTACTTGAATCATGGTTTACTGGCCCCCAATCCATCAACAAGTGCAACGATCTTCCCACTCCATACTGCGTGCTAAAACTTCGCCCAGGCGGAGTAACAAGCCATGCGGGGAGCGCAGAGGTGAACACTTTTCCCAACACCGGGGTCGGTGCGTCAGATGGTCGAGCAGTCATCACGCCAACATCCAACGCACGTGATGAAATTGCAACAATTATCGACTCGAATGTCGGCCATCAAGCAATGATCCCACCAAGTGCGACGATCCCGGATGAAAGGGGGAGCCGCGAATGTTCACAGGTATGAGGTTGCAGGCCTACTGCATCCTATGAATACCGCAGCCCCTTGTGCAACAACCACCCGTTTCTGCTTTTTTGTCTCTGATGATGGATTCGAGTAGGAATCCGAAACGTCAGGCTAATAAAGCTCTTGTCCCGGCGATCGTGTCTTCTTCTTCAACAGAAAGACTATTTTCACTTTTAATTCCCATTTTGATGTCTAATTTCTGCTACAAACTCTTGGTGGGTTAATATTTTCGAGAATGCCATGCATTCAGATCAGAAAAAACTGCGATTATTTCCCTTCCATTGATCACCGTTCATCATTATCAAAAGAACTTATTAAGCGTTATAATGCCTGTTTGTCTTTTCAGTCCAGAGCCTCTTCTGTCGCTGCTTTACTATACCGTGGTTGGATACGGACTGCGCAGTAGTAAGTTCTACAATAATTTTCTCTCCCCTTTCTCTATCAACTGTTTTTTGATCTAAACACCCGTATTTCTTTTCGGCCAATTACATATTTACCTCAAGTGACGACAACTGTTCTATAAAATGATGTATTTTCCAAAAAGGTCCATCAGAACAAATGGCGTCAGCGGCCTGGGCTTTGTTGGGATTTAGCACGCGAAATCTTTGAAGAAACGCGCTAAGATATCTTTAAAAATGACGAAGTACATAAAAGTAACGGAGGCCCCTTCTGGCCCAATCGGAATCTCTGCAGACTGATTTCATAAAACCTAATATGACTGTCGACCTGTTAGTTGAGACGGACCCAGTTACTTCAAAATTTGA